CAGACTCAGGCCAGTTGCCTGGTGGTTTAGTTTCAATATAGGAACAAAATAAGAACCTGATAAATCATTTAACAGTTAACAAAAGGAGACTTACTTAGCTAGAGAAAGAAAATTATACTCAGCAAGGCTAGGCCTTGGGGACACCTTAAGTCGATTTAGCTGAGCAAGGATTCCTTGCCTGAATTGCCCAATGTGATTCACTAGCCAAGAATCGGAGGGAACACTTGGAGCTCCTCTTGGCTGCTTTGATTTTGTGTGACCAGAAAATCTTGCCAACAGCCTGAGCCTTTAGTTTCCTGAATCAATGAAGCCTCAAAGGTGGTCTCAATGCCATTTATAGAAAAAATACCATGATGGCTGTGGTCCTTCATTCTCAAAGATGACCAAAATGATATAACTACGTGGGAGTCAAGATACAATGTGTCCAACTGGCTATGAGCTCAGAAGGCTCTGCCGCAGATTAGGCACAAATAGTCCCTATGAACATTTGGAGTGAAGATGTCTCTACATTTGAGCATCTCATATTTCTTTTGAGCTACTACAATTCTGCTTTACTTATAGAGCGCAGATCCTTCTTTGATGCAGACCTGCCATTACCTGGCAGTCTGTTGCTAGTGTCTCCCGTGTCATGCAGTTGATTCCATAGTTCTTCGGAGAGACTTCCAGAGTGTCCTTGTATTGTGTCTTCTGACCTCCATTTGAACACTTACCTTGTGTGAGTTCTCCATAAAATGATCTTTTAGGCAAATGTACATTTGGTATTTGAACAATATGGCCAGCATATGGGAGTTGTGCTCTTTGCAGCACAATTTGGATGGCTGCCCCTTCAGCTCAAAAAAAAGAACTACAGTGTCCAGTACCTTATCTTGCCGGGTGATCTTCAAAGGCAACATTTAACTCCATTAAAAGTAAAGTGAAAGTGAAACTTGGAGAGATGCAGGATTCTTGGCTCAGTAAGAAGGCAGATGAAATTCAGTTTTATGCTGATAGTAACAATCCAAAGTGTTTTTATGATGCTCTGAAGTCTATTTATGGGCCAAAGATCTATGGTGCATCTCAGCTACACAGTGCTGATAGTTGCATTAATTAGTGATAAGGACATGATCCTGGAGAGATGGGTTGAATACTTTCATCATGTTCTCCACAGACTGTCATTAATCAATGCAAAAGCCATTGACCTTATACCTCAGGTTGAAATCAATTCCTCTCTTGCCAGATTTCCAATGGAAAAAGAGGTTTGGAATGCCATTAGGCTTCTTTTGTGTGGCAAAGCACTGGTACTGATACTGTTCTAGCTGAGATAAGGCAGACTCATACACTGCTCATACAAAAGCTAACAGAAGTTTTCTGGGTTATATGGTGAGAAGAGATTATCCCCCCGTACTTGAAGGATGCCTCCATTGTCCATCTCTATAAAGGTAAAAGAAATAGATTGTCCCGTGAAATCACAGTGTGTAATCTCTGTCTTAGCCATTGCTGGCAAGATTTTTGCCAGTCTTCCCTAATAGGCTGGTCCTTCACCTAGAAGATGGTCATCTACCTAGCCAGTGTGGCTTCAGAGTGGGCTGAGGAACAGTCAATATGGTATTTTCTGTCTGACAACACAGGACAAGTGCCAGGAGCAGAACAGAAGTCTACACACAACATTTGTTGATCTGACCAAGGTCTTTGATACAGTCAGTTTTGATGTTTGTAGAAAATTATGTCAAAATTTGGTTGCTCAGAAAAGTTCATTGATAATTGTATATCAGTTTCATGATGGCATGCTTGCCTAGGTTCCACATAATGGATGATGTTCTCAGGCTTTCCCAGTCACCAATGAGATGAAGCAAGGCTGTGTGCTTGGACCTCAGGACCTCCCCCTTTCTAAGAGCCCGATGGTGGTGGTGGTGGTGGGGATTGGGATGCAAAACTTTTGTCCCACCAAAGGTCGTTGAGGGACTATTTCCTTCTGTAGGGGCTGGTTAGACACTTGAACATTCTCCTTGTTTCTAGAAAGCAAGCCCCTTCCCAACACTACCCCTTACTCCTCCAAGCCTTCCCTGAGGAGGAGTTAAACATGATCGCCCAGTGTTGTACGGCCTGTGATGTGTGATTTATGCTATAAAGCGATGATGGACATACTTATTGCCCCTGCAGATGCCATTTCTGCCACTGGGTTGCCAATGTCTCTGGGAACTATCCTGCTATGATGTTACCTCTGGGACTCACATCTCTGCCTACTGACGACTGTTGTCCTCTACCAGTAGGACTTGAATCTCTGCCTGCTATCCCTGAGGCCCACATCTCAACCTGTTGACCTGTTGCCTCCTGCCTTCTGTTGCCCTTGTTGACTGATGCATATCTTCTGCTGCCTACTCTGCCTTAGTCAACTACTTCCCCACCCTTCTCCTCCCCTGCCCCCTGCCCCAGGCCGTATTCCAGTGGAGGACAACTACTAATATCTGAGCTCTTCTGCTGTATGCTGGGACTGAGGGCCATGGCACTACCTCTGCTGGGGCCCGTTTCTGCCCTCCTGTGTCAGGCCTGACTCTTCCTGACCTTATTTAAATATTTATGAAAACCAGCAGTCCCACAGTGGCTGTGACTATGAAATACATTCCACATTTCCTCCCACTTCCAACCTTAGAGTGTTCTGAGTCCCAAGAACGTGATGCTCAAAACCACTTCTTTGCTCCATACAGATTGAGATACCGATTAGAACTGAGGAACCCACCGTCTTTGCTGGCCTTGTGGCTTAAATAGGGCCTCAAGACAAAAGATTTGGGGAAAGGTAAATGGCTTGAACTCCTCTGGGTGAGGAGTTCTGGGTGCGAAGTTAGGACTTCTTTTGGACCATTATAGCATGTCAAGTGATAAGTGATCTCTTCTAAGTGGTGTTTATGGATCAGAGTGCTTCACAATCCACTCTCCCAGCCCCCAAGTTCAATTATAGGTGTTTCTAGGTTCCAACACTACATGCAAACTAGAGGAAGCACCCAAGGCTCTTGGTCTACACATATTTCCATAACAGATGCACTATGGGTTAGTGAACATTATCTTGAACCTGGGATCAGGAAGCCTAGGTTTGACTCCTGCCACAAACACTGATGGGCCATAGGCAAGTCAATTCAATTCTTAGGACCTTGATTTCACTCATTTCTAAAATGGAGATGGTAATACTTGTACTACCTAACCAAAGGACTATTTCACTAAGGAAAGTGCTATATAAATAAGGGCTATTACTGTGTGCAAGATGATAAGTCTAAGGGGTTTGTCCTTATAGCTGGCATACAAACGTCAGCAGTAGCAAAATTAAGTATATCCATTTTTTAAAGGGAAAGTCTCTTAGTGGAAAATTTTACTTAGAAGAGAAGATTGCATTCATAACTCATATTTTGTTATAATTATGTCAGTATTGTCATGAATCTCTGTAACATGTCAGCATGTACAGTAGAACAGAAAGTTCATATTTATTAGTATGTAGGTAAAAGTACTATCAAGATGGAAACTAGCTGTTGGATCTACATTAAAGTTTGTAGCTGCAGCATTCTTTTAGTTCAATGAAATGTCTACTAGACAGGTAATAGAAATTATCTATTGAAAATAATTATTGTATCACTATCAATCAAATACGATATGTGCTAAAATTATTTTAATGTTTTATTTTCTCAAGTAAAAATTGCTTGGAGGGTCAGCTAGATGGTGCAGTGGATAGAGCAACGGTCCTGAATTTAGGAGGACTTGAGTTCAAGTCCAGCCTCAGACACATAACATTTACCAGCTGTGTGATCCTGGGCAAGTCACTTCACCCCAGTGCCTAGCCCCCCAAAAAAAATTACTTGGAGAGTAGAAAAGAGGTCAGGCAAGATTTTATTCACCATCCTGTGACCCGACCCCTAGGAATGTTCCCCTTTCTACCCAAACTATTCTGATAAATGCATTTTTCCCCCTCCTCATCCTCAGAACTTCTTTTTCTAATGCCAAAGATCAGCATTGTTGTTAATGGTAACAAAAACCTAAGCAAACAGGGTGGTGACTATAGATGTTCTCAAATCATTCTCTGTCATTCTGTTCAGGGACTAATTATGGCTGCTGCCATTTTTGTCTGTAATGTGAGAATAACTATCTCTATTGTCATGGAAGTGATGTTCCTATTATTAAAAAAAATGATGACATCAAAGCTCTCTACCTACATTGACTTTGTTTTTTGATATTCAAAAAGTAACTGATGTTTCATAACTTAAGATACTATATTGCCCATATTAGTAAAGCCAACCTAAATTTTTAACTTGAGCTAAGCTGCTGCTGAATTACTCTTAATTTGTGCTTTTGTGCATGTGCAGATTTTGCATTCCAAACTAGACAAAATGTTTGCCCTATTCCATTTCTGTATCATGTTACTGAAACAGTGAACAGTTCATATTATTTGTAAAAATAGTTGTATTCATTTTTAAAGTTTGTAAAGTAGCAGTTTAAAAATTTCACAAGTCCTTTCAAATCATAGATTTACTTTTAAGAGTTTAAAGATAAAAATATTGCTGCTCTGGATTAATTTTATCAACAAGCCTTTGATGATAAAGTATGGGATTGTGTCCTTAGACATTCCATTTTCCACAGAGGGCTTATGCAAAAGAGCATCATAAATGTACTGAAAGCTGCCATTTGAAAGAATTTGTTATGGTTCATTATTTCTTTGAACAATGAATGTGTCACAAATATATGAATATATAGACATGAATATATCAATAAATGTACTTTGATAGTGCAAACATTTTAACTTATTCAGTGTTGAAGTGTTGTAATGACTGAAAAGAAAAAGAATCATTTTGAGTGATTTCTATAAATTAGTTTTCTCTTATATTATTTTATTGTTTATACTCCTTACAGTAGTAACACAATGAGTCAGGGTGTTTTGAAAACATGAATAAATCTTATATAATTTATTTGGATTATATACTCTTTGTTTATTTTTTAAATGCACTAATATTCAATATTTCTGAAACATTTGTTGCTTCCAGGTGGGAAAGGTGGAAAGAAGAAGAAAAATAAAAACTCTTCTAAACCCCAGAAAAACAATGGATCGAGCTGGGCTAATGTCCCACTACCTCCTCCTCCAGTTCAGCCCCTCCCTGGCACAGAGCTAGAACACTATGCAGCAGATCAGCAGGAAGCTGGGTAACATTCTTTTTTATATTTACTTTATTTTTAATTTACGGAATAAAACAAGCATTTTCGTAACAGCATAATGAAATATGATTGCACAAGTAACTGCAAATCTATTATGTACAACTTGCTATTCCTTTCAAATATGTACTGAAGTTATCATGTAAATTTACATTTTTTCCCTTTTTTTTCCCTTCCCTACCCCCAGTCTTAGAGATGGCTTCCATTATACCTCCCATCTTGTGCATTTTGTTCTCCTAACAACATGATATGTACATTTTAATAGATTAAATATATACAAGTAAATAAAATATTTTAAATATATTTAAATTATATATTAATTATATTATTTTATTATTATATATATTAATATATAATTAGATTAACTATATGTGTATATGCTGTGCCCCACCCCTCACACAGGGACAGAGCACTGATCTTCACCAGTGAGGACAGCATCTTATACTAGTGGGCTTTGAAACATGGATTGCATATGTATATTTATATGTGTATTCATATTTAGGATAGTAAAATATTGCTCATTTTAGTCATCTGCAAACAGTACATTTATATTTGTTTTCAGCACAATACAATGAAATGTTGATAGATTTGTATAAAATCTATTGTCTGTATATTCCAAAATGTTTGTAAACCTAAATAACAATAACAACAACAGCTAACTAACATTTATATAGAGCTTTATGGTCTACAAAATATTTTGCATATGCTATCTAGTTTGATCCTGCTGACAAGTCTGTGAGGTAAATGCCATTATTATCCTCATTTTACAAATGAGAAAACAGAGGCTGAGAAAATTTGAGTAACATGACCATAATCACACAGCCAGTAAGAGTGTGAGGCAGGATTTTGTCTCAGGTTATCCTGACTCCAAGTCAATCACTTTAGTCACTACAGTACCACGTTGCCTGAGTCAACCCTTCCCTTGATTTCCAAATCACCATTTCCCCTTTGTGTTACATGTGTAAAATATAGAATTTATTGATTTAACAAGTATACATCTAGATTATTTTCCCAAAATTTAAAGTCTCCCCAATTATTTGAATAGTTGCTTTAGTTTTCTTCATAAATGCAAAAATGGTTTTCATGTGCTCACTATAGTATTTTATAGCCTAGTCTTGATCCCACATCCCCCTTTCTACTCATCTCAGTACACAAAAAACTTCCTCACTTTCTCTATGGCATGCCTACTGAGTTCTCTGGATTAACCTTCCAATCCAGAAATTTATGTACAATGCCAAGTTGACCTTTCCTTCTTACAAATGGCCTCTGCTGCCTCCCTCTCAGGTCACCTACCATATATACCCCAATGCCTATATATTAAATTAATTGATGTAATTTCCCCCAGACATTTCACATCTGTTATAGGACACTAAGAGGACTATCCTTCTCTTTTTGTGATAAAATACAGTGAGTGACCTTCTGTGATAAATGTTAAAGATATAAATACTGTTAAAGATATAAATAATGTCAAGTATTAGATAGGTCCTTAGAGAGGAGAATGCCAGAGACAGTCATCCAGTTTTTTGGCAAGGAAAGTCTGAACATTTCTGAATGTAAGAGTGACCAGAGACAACTAGGATTTCTCTTAAATATAGTAGACAGGACAATTGGAAAATGTAGACTTGCAAAGAGAAAAGAGAGTAATCGTTACCCAAACAAAACCAAAGATGTTCAGGGAAATGTGGAAAGGTTTGAAGTATTTAATTTCTTTTTCTTGCCACCCTCCTCACCACCTCGGAGTCAGAGGAGCAAATTCAATAGAACATACTAATGTCTGCAAAATACTGTCTCTGGCTTTTTGAAGTCAAAGCTAATTCCTTCAAAATAAATATAATCTGTTCACTTAACTCTGTTATATTTAAAAGAATTACATATTTTTCCTATACATATGAATGTATTTCGTATATTTAAAACTTAAACACATTGGCATAGTGTATTTGACATACAGCTGAATATTGAATTTAAGGTCTGAAAAAATATTATCTATGTATTCTGGAAATATAAATCATTTTAATTGTATTATTACTTAGCTAAAGTGCAATATAGGTTATCCAGTTGTCTGCATTTCCTACATTCCATTTGATATATGAGAACAGTAAATTGATGTAGTTATTGTGACATGAGCTTGACTTCTTTGTGTGTGTGTGTATGTATATATATATATGTATGTATACATATATATATACATATATATATGTATATATATGTATGTATACATATATATATGCATATATATATATATATACACACATTGTATATATGGATAAAAACTCTTTGAAAATAATTTTTCTTCCAGAAGACACACACACACACATGTGTGTGTGTGTGTGCGTGTGTGTGTGTGTGTGTGTGTATTCCAGAATATACACATTGGTTATTTAAGACTCAAATAATCAATTATACTTTTGGAAGAATTTGAAGTTTCATAGTATTCAAGTGCATATTTTTCTGGATTTTAAATATTACTCATTTCAGTTATTTTTCCATGCCATGTTGATGGGAATTGTAACCAAACTTTCAAAAGCATGTCCTAGAAATGAATTTGACTTTAAAAAATGAAAAATATTATAATTTTTGGATATACAGTCCTCTTCTTACTATCCTAATTTTCCCCCACGTACCCCCCCAAAAAAAAGTAGAGTGACTAGGAAAACGTTTTAAGGGAAACATTCTTCAACAGTAAACTACAGATTTTTGTTATTTTAGTTGAATATACTGTAACTCAATACATATTTACTAACTCTATTATAGGCAAAGCCTTGTACCCCCCACTCTAAAAAAAAATTCCTGAAATGATGGAAAAAGTCAGAATTTGAATCTCTAAATCTCAGGATGTAGTTTTATTTTTAAATATAAAAGGTAAATAGTCTGTGGCAAAACAGAAAATGAATACGCCAGTAAGTCATGAATAGATTAGAGTGGAAGAAACTACTGAAGGGAAATAAAAAGGAAATTGTTATAGGCAATAGAGTACCACTTGTATAATACCACTTATATTTTAGAATGACCTAATATTTGTCACAAAGATACATCATAGATGACAGAACTGATTTATATTTGTCTTCAGCCTTTAACAAACAGCGACAACATTGGACTGAATCTTTTAAAAAGGTCTATATACATATGCATATATACACATACACACACACATAGATACTAAAACATATGGACATAATCACAAATTTTACATTCCCTACTTATTTCCCTTATCAACATTTTTTTTAGTTGTGACGCAGATTTATGTTATTAGGGTGGTATTACTATTTGCCACTCTCTTAAGATATATACTAATATAGAATATAATGTCCTTCTGGCTCAAAACTTCAAACTATTGATTTTTCTACTCAGTTTTTAATTATGATGCTGCATATTGATCTTTAATTGCTCAGAAGCTAGATATCATCATTGATATTCCTAAGAATCCATTTCTTGTTAAACTTTTCACAGTTCAAAATTATCATAGTCATCATATCGTGGCTCCCTTGGACATAACTTGATGTTTGCTCTGAACACACAGCACCCCAGGATGATAATTGTTCTCATTAACCCAGCTTTCTAGATAATATGCCACTTGGCAAAGCTATACCAAACTCTCATTTCGCAGCATTCACAACACTGAACATTTTTAGAATGCCCATATGACACTAGGAAGAGCTCAGCAGTAATTAAATTGAAAATCAGTGCTTTCTTCTGTTGCAAATGTAGATTGACATGTCTTTGCTAATATTCCACTTCATTGTATTGTTATTACTAATTTGATCTTTATATTTGACCTTTATCAAGTTAGTTCACATGCAACATTGATTTCTTGTCATCCTCATTATTCACTAGGCAAGACAGATACTATGATGCTTCTTATTTAACTGACAAATAGGTTAAATTATAGCATGTTTTCAAAAGACTAGCCAAGGGATCTTTTCTTTGGCATAAGAGCACTTTTATAGTCATTTATTTCTTTTTGTAAGCAAAAAGAAAAAAAAATCCACGATGTTCTGTCATTCAAAACAAATGTATCATCTTTTAAAAGTGGAGGCAATTCTGAAAATACATACCACAATTTTAGATACCAGAAAAGGCTAACTAGGCAATGTATTAAGAGGCTAAAAGCCCTCCCAAAATTTGTTAATGGAATGATCTGAATGACTGATGGCACACAATTAAGTTCTTTTAAAAAGCAAGGTACTTAGCTTCTAAGTATATAGCTGTCAAACACAGATCAGAAATATGTGATGCTTGTGCTGGCAATCACAGTTTCTTCCTTTCTTTTTTCCTTAAGGGGACAGGCCCAAGTTTGACGGTGTTTATGGCCAATGTAGAGGTGAGGATCACCTCAGGTCAGAGTTCTGCCAGTTGGGTAGCCAGGTCACCAAGTCCCCAATTCAGAACCATCATTTTATCTGGATAAAGAAATCTCTGAATTTTGAGTGCTGATAGAGTAGGATCCTGTCCAGTGATATTCCCTAGTTCCCATATGATTTGAATTTTTTGCTAAACTACAACCCAGAGACCTCCCCACACCTTGAAATTCTCTCTGTGCCATAGGGCTAGCCCTCTCTCTTATTTCATGGTAACACTGGATGGTCCTACCACAAGAGATTAGGTGGGGAAGGATATATTCCAAAACAAATTGATGGGGGAAAAATGAAAATTAAAGAAAAACTAAAAAAAATAGCTACAAGGCTTTTAAAGTTGATAAGAGTTGTCTTATATTTTCTGGCTTCCTTCAGTAATAACATAAAAAAGTGTTGGACTAGACTACAATTGAGAAGGTTTTGTTTTGAATCTTGCCTTTGCCACTTGCTAACTGTTTGACCTTCACCAAGCCATTTTACTTATCTAAAACTCAGCTTTCTAACCTGTAAAATGAGAGCGTTGGGTTAGATGGTTTTATTGGTTTCATTGCAATTCACAAATCTTATGATTTAAGCCATTCCAATTAGCTCCGTGCTATAAGTGGCATTCTGTATAGTTCCAGATATGTACAAGAATTGTTGATATACTGATTCATTGAATTTAGAGTTTGGTAGCTCCTGTACCAAAATTTTTTAAATGGAAATTAAATAAATTAGTTTAGACAAATGAGTCAACCTTTCCAAAATAACTAGTTATAAATACTTTCTTTTGATTATTCAGTATAATCGGTAATCACATTGACATGACCAAAGTGAACACCATTCACATAGATGTGGCTGTGATTCAGAGCCAGGTGACATTATCAATAAACAGTTCAGCAATATTCATTTAATTACACTTTTTTTTAAATATCAAATTTTCATGACAATAAAAGAACACTTATGAATGATTATGATAAGCCTTCCCTGAAATACTAAGCTCCAAGGTGAAATTGCTAGACACCATGGTAACCTTGAGGCCAGAATCACTCAATCTCTTTCAACAATGAAAAAAAAAAAGGTTGCATGAGACTTAATTGACTTGTTTTTGTTACATTAAGGAAAATAATTTGTTAAACTCATTATTATGTATTTTAAATATAAAAAGTAAGATGAATGGATTTTGACATTAACTATATAAATACTGGAAAGTTAAGGTGAATGGCAATTGTGTTTATTGATACTTAGTTTTCTCATGGATGTTTTGCAAAATGTAATTTAATAAGAAAAGAGAACTGATTTTGCATGAGAGTGGATAAAATAATTATATTTTATAAGTAAAGTTTGAGGCGGGAGATCCCAGAGGAAATACATAGTGTTCACCTGGTTATGTGGAATTAGCACATTGAAGGAGTCTAGGTCTGAGGGTATTCTAGGACTATGTAAGAATCTAAAAACCATATTATAGAATTCCTAGATCTGCAGTTTACAAGAGCCAATATTAAAATACAATAACATTTCCCAGAGCTTTCTTAGCTTCTCAAGAATTTCTCTCTTTAGATTTTTTGATGTGGTAAGGAAATACTGCAAAATATTTGTAATGCCAAGATTTAAAAACAAGCTTACCAGGCTGAGGAATTTTGCCCTGAACAGGAGTGTTCAACAAGCTTTGAGTAGAACTTTAGAGGAAAAGCATTAAAATGTATTATAAAAATGAATTAATACAATACAATAACAGATATGATTATTATAGAAAATTCAAGTAATACACATAAGATTTACTACATCCATCACTAAATATGTATTTATTTGTTTTTAGGAGACCTGTGACTTTTTTGGTACAGAATACTCCCAGTGTGGCATTTCCATCTAACAATAGAGATCTGAATCTTTTATGAAACTTAAAGTCATGGAAAATTTCCTAGAGCAGTTAGAAATTAAATGACTTACTTAGGGTAATGTAATCAGTCTATACAAGAGGCAAAACTTAAACTAGGTCTTCCTATCTTTGAACTCAGATCGTTCTACCTCCAAAGCCAGATTGCTCTTCTTTCCCTTATACTTCTCAAACAATTGAATATTGGCACATTACAAAATTAGAATATTATAATATTAGCACATTAGAACTGTAGAATATTAGTTTTTCCAAACACAATAATAAAGGGGCAACAGAATTAACCAGACATGGTGATATGAAGTTTTGTTGTTGTTTAACTGTCATGATAATTTTTTTTTGTTTTATTCTATCTAAAAATTTCAGCTATGACAGTGATGGCTGGTGTCCACCATTACCAGTTCAAACATATTTACACCAAGGCATGGAGGATGAGCTGGAGGAAGATGATGACCGAGTCCCAACACCTCCTGTTCGAGGAGTGGCCTCTTCACCTGCCATCTCATTTGGACAACAGTCTACTGCAACTCTAACACCCTCCCCACGTGAAGAGATGCAACCCATGCTTCAGGCTCACCTTGATGAGCTGACCAGAGCCTATCAGTTTGACATAACAAAGCAAACATGGTGAATATCACAAACAAAACAAATAGATGTCTAGAGAGATCAGCATGTATATATATAATATTGAGTTGAAGGACATAGAAGAATAGAGAAAGAAGGCACCTTAGAGTTCACATAGTCAAACTCCCAATTTCATAGATGATAAATTAATTAGGAGATTAAGTAACAGTTCATTTCTAACATGGGATTAGAATGCAAACTTTTTTGACTATTCAATTAAACATATATTGCATGTAGTTGGCATTCAAAAGCCTGATAAAATGAGATAATATGTGTAGAAAACAGCATAGTACGTGGCACATAGTAGGTGTGATATAAATGTTTATTCCCTTCCACTTCCCTGTTGAATTGAAATTACATGTACGTATGCACACACACATACAGAATTTCTAGGCACGTGATAGTTTGTGTGTATAATTAGCTCCTGGTATTGACATTCAACTATAGTTTCTTCCATAGAAGCTTGTTTTGTTTATACACACAGACTTACACATATACATGCATATAAGTATATTCTGCAAGAAAAAATATAATGTGTAAGAACACCAAATTTATCACGACAGCTACATGTACATCACACAGTGGTTGGAGTTGGAGTCAGAAAGACCTAAGTTCGAATCCTGTCTCAGATATTTATTAGCTGTTTGACCTTAGGCAAGTCATTTAAACTCTCTCAATCTCACTTTAGTCATCTGTAACATTTACCTTACAAAGTTGTGAGGTTCAAATTTGATGATTAATATGTTTTGCAAACCGCAAAACATATTATATAAATGCTACTTATTATTATTATTATTATTATTATTACATTAAGAGAGGATTAATTATAAGCTCTAGGCTGCTAAATTTCCCCCCCAAGCCATAAAATGACATTAATTCCACAAATTGCAAAATCCGAAGAACATTGGTAGTGGAATATGTCTCTTCCTTTTCATTTTAGGACACTTCATACATATATCTTACTATTTTCTTCCTGTACTATCTTTCCTTTTCTAACTGACATCATATGCTTCATATTATTGGTTTGGATAAATCTTATATTAGCAAAGTGAATCCCCACATCTCTTAGTTTTAGGGATCAGGAACTTGTATTTTTAGGGAAATACCACTACATGGTGATCTTGCATCTTTTGGGTAACTAGGTTATAAGTCCTGCTTCTCCAATGACCATAACAAATTGTAAATGGGATAGGATCAGATTACTAAGGGAAATAAACTACCAAAATATAGCTATATTATTGATTTCTCAGGTATTAACCAAAATTGAAATATCAGTGCAGTGAGTATTAAAACAAGCATAAGAATATATGACTTAAGAATAATTTACTTCTTAAATATAATCTAAAAACCAAGGTGGGAAGGGAATAAACAGATAGATAGATATGGATGTATCTACATATGTATGTGTTTATATATATATATATATATATATATATATATATATATATATATATATATATATATATATATATATATATATATATATATATATATATATACGTGCCTATATTTTCCTCCTTTGCATAACCCTAACCTATTCCCATCAGCATTGTCCCTCATTTTGGAAAGAAAATAATGAAAACAATTTCCTTTCCATAATTATGCTTTGAAATGATAATCATAAGGCCAGCAGAAGCTTCTCTAATTAGAATGAATCCGTTAAAAGTTCGTTGACTGCCTGTCATTGTCTGGACCTGGAGTTGAGGAAGGCAAAATCTAGTCTGTGTTTACTTCTCTACCATTCCCCCTTGCCTCAGTTTATGGGACTTTAAGCTAGAAATGACCTTACAGTTGACCCCTTCATTTTATATATAAGTAAACAGAGCTCCACAGAAAGAAAGTGACTTTCCCAAAGTCATAGTTAGTAAAATCCCTTGGTTACCTGAAAGTATATTCTTTATAGGCTGTGTATTATTTCATATATGTCCAGTCTTGTGAGAAGAAACCAACAATGACCTGAGGATGTAATAGGTTTTTTTCCCTATCTCAAATCACCAAATCTAGCATAAAACTTGAGAGAAAAATACTCTTGAAAGAGAAACATCTTGGAAAGAAAAAACTCTTTGTGTGTATAAATATCTATCTTTACATATTTTTGGAGAGAGAGATCTTTAAATCACTTTTAAATCAACTTCTTTTCTTTTCTTCTGGCTCCCAAATACTCTCTGTGCTAGCCACAGCATGCAGGAATTGATAAAAGAAAAAAGAATTAAGAGATTTTTCAATCGAATTAGCATTGCCACTGATTGCTGTTTCATTCTGAGTCATTATTTAGTTAATTAGGGTTATCTTATCAAAAATTAAAAAGGCTATCAAAGATGGTAGGAAACCAAGACCCAAATTCTTGAATAATATTGCCTTCCTTACCTTTTCACTTAAAATTTCAAGAAAATCAGAAAAGGAATTGGATAGTAGATGAATATATCATGTGAATAAATATTTATGTCTCATTCTTATTATACTGCTAATACCTACCATTCTCAGTGCCTAAGGAAAAAATCAGCTTTCCATAACTTGTTGAGAAATAGAATTTTTCAGTTCTCCATTTCTCAGCATGAAGTCAACTTTCCATCATTGGTCATCCACATGTTAACTGCCCATGTCCACTTGCTCAAGAAATGATCCTACATGCACACTAAAATTGAAATTTAGAAAGAAATATGAAACCAATGCAAAAAGAAGTAACTAATGTAATATCAACATAATAAAACAAAAAGGTGTTAATTCTGATTAAAAAGACTAGGAGGAAAAATTTTGGATCTCTTTCCTATCAAGATTTTTAAAAAAGGCTTCAGATATCAAAGGACAAAATTCATCAAGACTTTGAATATCATGTCACAAATGATAGGATTTTCAGTAATCTATGGTTAAGGATGTGTACAGAGTTTTTGGTAGTAAACAATCTTTAGCTAAACAGTTTGGGAGTTCCTGGCCAGCGAGAAACAGGATGTTTTGAGAACTACTCCAAATACTTACATAACAAGTTTTATTAGGAATCTCTGCCAAAAACTCTAATATGTCATCGTGGTGTAAAATATGAAAATAATTGCTCTCTTCTCTGACTAATCCATTGCAGTCTAGTTGCTAAAAACACCATTATCAGTTTTTTTTAGCAGGTGAGAACAAATCTCAATTTCTCATTTAGGTGAATTATGTTCAAATAAACTGAGCTAAAATATATTTTTTTTCTTGCTCTGTATCAATCATTGCAATATAAGGAAGTAGAGCGTTTTTTAAAAAAAATCTATGTTAAATCCAGCAAATAATTATTAAGTGTCTATAATATGCAGGGCACTCCACTGGATACTGAAGATATAAAGATGAAAAACAATATAGCTCTCTCCCACTTGATTGTGTTCTCTTTGAAAGCAAGGTCTATATTTTTGTTGTTATATCTCCAGCTCTTAGAACATGAACACAGCAAGTGTTTAATAAATGCTTGGCAACATGACTCAATGAGCTAACTTAATGGGGGGATAAATTATGTATAAATAAGTTATGTATATAAATAAATATGGTACAAGGTAATATGTAAATAAATTTAAAGGACAGATTGGGTTTCTTAACTTTTGGTGAGTTTTATGCACCCCTTTGGCAATCTGATGAAGTAAATGGATTCTTTAGAATAATGTTTAAATTCTAAAATGAATAGAATTACAAAGGAGACCAATTATCATGCAAGAAATTTATCACAATATTGAAAAAAAATACAGGGTCATGGACCTTAAGTTAAGTAGCCTGGCTCTAGACAAAATCAATCCAAAACAAATAAAATATCACTTTCAAGTGGTAGGATCAGGGAAGGTACATAGAGGAAGTGGAAACAAAGCTAAGTCTTGTTGGAAATGGACCTCAAGAGGTAGAAATTGGAAGTAAATAAGTTTTAAGGAAGCAGGGGATATAGGTATAGGTGGGGATATAGATGTTAAGGGAGTAGGAAGAACTGTATTTTAATCTACTGAAGTGGAAGAGTGTCCAGTTTGGCTGAAACATGGAGTATGTAAGAAGAGTCAAGTGAAGAAAGATTCGAAGTTAAGCTGAAAACAGATTTTTGAGGGTCTTAAATGTCAGACTTGGAAGTTTGTATTTTTTTTTCTACAGTAAGAAGGAGCTTCAGAAAGTTTTTGAACAAGGGTCAAAGTGACATGGTCGGGCAAGCCTTTGCATAAAGAAATAATATTTTATAAACCATGTAAAGACTGGGGAGAGACTCAAGACAGAGAAAATAAGAAGTTATTAAGTGAGAAGGAAAAGTGTTATCGTGAATGAGTGAGGAAGGGATGGTGACAAGAAACACTGTGAAAGTAGAATTGAAAGTAATTCATTGTGAATAGGTAGCTGGTAAAGGGAGAAAAATTATTCCAAGATTTTTAAAGTTTGAATCCCTAGGGGATGGTGAACTAAGTTACTCAAAGACTTTCCAAAACAAAGCCCAGGAGAAGTATCACATAATTGAAAGGAACCCCAAAAATTCAGTCAAGTAGACAATAAGCATTTCTTAAGTGCCTACTATGTGCCAGCCAGTGTGGTAAGTGCTGGAGCTTAAAAAAGAGGCAAAAGAGCAGGCCATGCTCTCAAGGCAAGCAATAGAATGGACAAAGACAACAAAGAAAGCGAAGCTGAAAAGGAGTTGGGGGATGGGGCAGGATACCTGGTGTGGGGCATGATGAAGTCCACAGGAGTACAGCTGTATGAGAAATGATGAAATGATTGTTCTGAGCACCCTTCTTAAATGGAAGATGTGGGAGGAGCCCTCCCTTCTCTTTCTTCCATCCTCTTCAATCAGAGGGGCCTCAGAGCCAGAGGGTACTGCCAATGTGTGAATTCCAGTGTGGATGGACTTGGAAGAAGAGATTCTTAGGGCCATAATGGCATCCAAAGGAGTGTACCTGAATTGGAAATGGCCGTCTAGTCCAATCCATACTGTATGCTCACTACAATCATTGCCTTTTCTTCTTTTCTGCTCCACTCATGACACCAAGGTAGTCCCAGGTTACTTCCACACCACAATAACTGGTACTCTAATATTTACTGATACCCTTATAATATCACCAGGAAACTATAATCCGGCTCCTTACCATTTTGATCTCCAAATTCACCCATCCTCCCCTTTCATTCCTGCATCTGACCAAGCTGCAGACATGTTGCTGCAGAAACAGGGCCCTGCCTCTGAAGTCTGTGGAGTACTGGGATACTTCAGAATGGTACAAGAAACAGCTGAAAAGATGTGCCTGTAGACCGGGAGAGATAGAAACCTAAAACATTGATTTCAGAGTCATTGGCGAGGAGGCAATAATGAAATCATGGGAGTGGGTTCTAGAGATGTTTTAGGAGAGAGTTTTAGAGATATGGAAAGGTTCAAGAATAGAACATGTATAGACATTTTGAGCCATGACCGAACTTTGAAACCACCCATGTTAACTCCCTCATTATAGAAGAAGAAACTAAGTCCTATAAGGCTTAAAGTAGTTAGTGAATAATAAAACTAGAGTCTTTAGCCCCTAACTCACTTCCAAGTGTACTTTCTACCATATCATACCACTTTACTGTTATTTGGAGACTTCATGGATAGTGAGGTATATTTCTGTAACCTGGTTTACTTTTACATAAGAGGTGTGGAAGAGAATAGGCATTTATTAAGCAACTACTATGTGCCAGGCACTGTATTAAACATTTGACAAATATCTCCTTTGTTCCTTGCAACAACCCTGCAAGGTAGAACTTATTATTATCCCGATTTTACAATTGAGCAACTGAGGCCGACAACTTGAATCACTCAGGGTCACAAAGCTAATGATTGTCTGATGCTGGATTTGAACTCAAGACTTCTTTACTTCAGCAGAACTTTGTCAAGTGTGCTTTTGTCAAGTAATGTTTAAGCTAAATAATTGGAGTAAAAGTTTTTAAAATACTTAGTTTTGAATGGAAATGGAAGAAATAGTTATTGAGACTTTAGATACAAGCCACTTTCATAACTAAGCTGTCATAATTGAAAGACTAACTTTTTAAAATTTAAAATATGTGCTATGTAAAAGATGCCTTTTCCCCCCTTTTATAGGCACATGCAAAGCAATACCCAACCTCCTCAGCCCCCAGTTCCACCATTAGGTTATGTTTCTGGAACCCTGATTTCAGATTTGGAAACAGATATTCCAGATGATGATGATGATGATGACGATGATGATGAGGAGGAGGAGGAGGAGGGAGGAAGAAGCATTAGAAATTACTAGGCCCCTGAGAGGTCACGAGCAGACTCCAGGATCCAGTATGGACAATCTAGACAGTTCTGTGACAGGTAACAACTGATTTATCAGAAATAACTGACCTATTTATATTTTTAAATGTATCACAAATCAAATATGTTTTAGCAAGGTTTATTTCATTCTATTTCTATAACATTTTAAATATGTTAATATGAAACACAAAGTTAAAAGGGGATTTGAAAATATTTTTGCTTTGCTGCAAAAATGATAAGAAAATTCATGAATTTTAAAAAGCTTTAAAGACATGAAAGAAAACTCAATTATATTCAGAGCTTTTGAAAAGTTCAGTCTACCAAAGAAGCAAGTCTATTACATTTTTTAAAATTGACTTTTGGAAATGATACATTTTGTATATCAGGAGCAACATACAAAGTGAATGCAATCTTAAAATGCCTCTTGATATTTTATTCTGTAAAAGTATTCACTGATAAAAATGAGAAAAAGACTTCAGAATAAGCTTCTAAAGGACAGCACAATGTATTATTTTAGAATGGAAAAAATGTGTAATTATATAAAGTATATTTTTATATACTTGATATTCATGGATTCAGTAATTTTATACTTTGAGAAGGATTATTATTTATTCCGTTTTCTCCTTAGCTTCTTATTCTAAACACAGTGCAACTGGCTGCAACAGAGTTCACCAAAATCTGAAATTAAATGCTCTAAAGGCTGTGTATTTAAAGTTACTTTTGAAATAGATTTTAAACCAGATGAGTATATGGTAAAGAGAGAGAACATGTATGAATAAATACTGCTTTTGTCCTTAAATAATGAATACAAAAAACACCCTCTGCATATCTGTGATGATTTAGTTCCCTGAGAAAAACAAATATTCATTACAAATGTTCAATCTTCATAGGGATCCACTAATTTCTGTATTTACTTTTAGGTTGTCCTTACTATAAGAGGGCATTTAAATGTTCTCCCACTTAATTTTATTTTACTGCCACATGCTTTTTAAGTTCTAAAGATTTTACACCCTTATCTGGGCATTGCAGCTCTGCAAATACATTGAAGCTCCCAGTGATGGAAGCTGGAATGTGACAGTGATGAAACATCAGTACCTATAATTTTCCTCTGCATCCCTTGTTGAATTAAACAGTGTGCAATGCACTATCCCACTTTTCCGTTTGTCTCCTTGCCCTCAGGCCAGTCTGCTTGCCAAGCTAATTAAGATTTAAGAACTGCTGCTTTACTGCTGTGATTTCAAAACCAGCTCCAACTGAAGGTTTCAGAGTTAAAGTTTAAATCTTGGAATTCAGAGGGGTGACTTATTAGTGCACTAGTCAGCTAAGCTACTTTGAATGTCTAGCCTAATCTCCTTCAGGTTATAATTTTGCATATTTTTGCATATCTCACTAATAGCTCTGAAGCCTTTCCACTAGAAATGTAGGGAAGGCTTTACAATGATAATTCAGGAATAAATAAATTTTAAAAATCAGTTTAGCACATGTCCCTCTTTTGTTGTATGTTATTAATGTTGGAAATGATAAGATATATCTATACATCAGGGCACTGTCATTTTGAACACTTATATGTTCATTTATTAGTAACTTGCAAGATATTTAAATATGACTAGGGTGTGGAAAAAGTGGCATTTTTACTATAATTAATTTACCTTACTATTCATTCAAATGAAGTTTTTATAGCTAAGAAAACAACCTGCTTTCCTACATGAATTTAATTTAATTATTGTCATCTATAAAAATATTGGGGCATTCTGATATAATAGACTGTGATCAGTTTATCTTATAAATAAAGCTATGTCTTGTTAGAAAAGTCGAATTAACTATAAAATTTCAAGGATTCGGTTAACATACCTTTTACCCACTGGTTTCTACAATAAGCTTATAGGGAAGGTGTGCTTAAAGTCTTAATTGCTGAGCCTATAATTAACCTTGCTGGTAAATGGATTCTCTCACAAAAGAAAATGGAGCTTCTGGATCCATATATTCTATAAAACCTGAATGTTAGAAAGAGCAGCATGCTAATGAGTAATGTGCTAAATTGCCTCTGTTTCCTTCAGACATTTAAGGCTTGGTTTAACAGTGCTAAATAAGGTGGGCAATAAAAACACACCATTTCCATTTGCTTTCTAGTTCTTTTAAGATGTTAAGTGCCCACAAAGAAGATTTTTATCTCAGTCTAAGATAGCTTTGACTCTGAATTTGTGTATGGTTTGGGGCCATTGGGTAATTTATTTCAGTTAAAATTCTATACTACCTTTGTATTTTTGTTATTATTAACTTAGTGAGTATCCTATAAAACAGGACAGTTAAGTTAAAATGGATTCTCAGGAGCTCCCAAACCTACCAGAATCAGAGTCAAAACTTAACCAATACTGGTAGGGGTTAAAAGGACTCCATGTGAAATTATGCACAATTTTGCTTGCCTTTATTGCTTTTGGACAGCTTCCATATTAGGGAAAATCTTTGATATTGAGGCTGTTTCCATAAAAATAACATGTCACTATAAGTATTTTTTGTCTCTTAAACAAGTAATTCAAGAATGACACTTCTTTGAAATGGTGGTTCAGGAAGCAAGAGAAAGGCAAATCAAGTATCATTTGCCCCATTTCTGATGAACTCACTAAAAGAGAATGGTAACCACGAGTTTATATGATTATATTCAGCTGTTTAAAAATGGCCACAGAAATAATTAAAAAACCATATTTTAGAGTGATAACACTGAACAAATAATTACTCTTCATTTGTGCTTTCCTCCAGTTATAATTCTTTCACATTTATTTGCAAGATTATAAATCCAGTCTTCTACTTAATTAAATATATTTAAACATATAATGAAAATTAATTTATGCTACTTATTCAAATTTATTTCTTTGTATTTTTAATCATTCCAGATTTTTCAATTTTCAAATTGCTGAAAAGCCAAAAACTCCCAAATTTATGTTCTCAAATTCTCAAGTATAGATCTATAATTTTGCCTGTGCCTCATTCATCTGTGAAACAAAAAAGAATTATTTCAATATTAATTATTACTTGCTCTGGTCAAAGGGGGTTTTGCTGATCTCAGATTCAGTCCCAAGTTCAATAATAGGGATCCAATATCAAGAAGTACATCTTAATGAGCATTCCTTCAGCCCATCTCAGTAGTTGGATTTTTAACTTAATATCATAATTTAAATCCCATGGGATTTTACTATAGCAATGTGGTCTGGAGACTGAAAGTACCTACCAGTAAAGACACTGTCATACTTAACTGTTAGAGTACATTTGAATATAACAGTTGAAGGGATACAGGCCCTTATTTTATTACTTTGAGAGGTAAAGTCTGCTTTACCAAATGAATCACAAAAAATTTGATAAAATCTGGAAGTTTTCCTTAAAGCTAGGGTACATAACTTTTAGAGTCTTAACTACTTAACACTAAGACCTGAAGAATAGAAATTGCTACCAAAAAATGATTAAGGAAGCATTCAAGTAACAAAAATTCCATGTTATTACTATCATTGCCAAAATCCGTTAAATAGTTTACCAAAGAGATAACAGCTTTGAAGTATTTTAAATACTCGATGTCACTTATTTTTAATTTCCATGATTAAAAGAAAGATGAAGGCTATTTAATGTATGTTTTCATCTATGTAAGTAAAGTTTAAAAGATATCCATTTACCTTTTTTAATTCTACATGCATTATATATTCCTTCTTCTGCATGTAATAATTAGAGAATGGGGGCATATTCAATGTATTTGAAGAGAATAGAACAACTTCTATAGATTAGACAAGATCTGTTACCTAAAGTCATCTATTGCCAAGGTAGAGGTCAATATTTGATTGGTTTGCTCAGAGATACATTTTGCTCAGATTTTATTTTACAGACAGTTAGGCAGATTGCATTTAATAGTAAGTGTGGTTCGCAGATTAAATATATGTTCAGAAAATGGGAAACTGCTAGTTTTTGTATCTTGTAAAAATGGTAATGCCACAATTAGCAAGGTCATATTATAAAGCACAGACTTTACTCAAGCTTAATGGATCTAGGGATATGCATTCATCAGCAAGGAAGGATTTAGCATAAAATGACATGTAAATGAATTGATGACTGATCATAAATTAATTTTAGTGCTGAAGATGTAATAGAGACACAGCAAGATGCCACTTTATCATAGTATTTTACTGCTCAGTAACATTTGAGCAACTACTTAATGTTCTGTGTGCATTTTTTTCTTTAGCAGTTGGAATAAATTTAAGAATTTTTTGGCTTTTCAGCAATTTGAAAACTGAAAAATCTGGAAAGGTTAAATATGTAAACAGAAATAAATTTGACTAAGTGGCATAAATTCATTTTCATTATATATTTAAGTATGTATTGATAATGCATTCAGCTATAAAGTGTCAAAATGGTATGGATTGCTTACCATCTTTTATTTGAGATTTTCTAATAGAGCAGTTTTTACCACCCATACATTACTTGCTATATTTTATTATCAAGTAGTGCATTTTTTTTGCCACATATACACTTTTATTCAAATTTTTCATACAAAAGCACTTCTAATCAGTCAATTATGATGATACTTTCCTCATTGGAAATATTCTTCCTAAGCCCATTAACAGTTTTGATAAGAACTTAATAAGTAAGATCTAAAGGAGAAAGATGGAAAGTCATAGTACAGACAGATAAACACAGGAAAGTGAAATTTTTAACAGGGAAGAAGGAAAATAGTACAGGTTTTAAAGATTTTTTTTTATTTCATCAATAAGGCTAACCCCTTTTATTTATGGAGACAGAAACACCTCTTTCCTTTAGTAAATTATGTAGTGAGTTGCTTTGGCCAAAAGCCAACACATTGACCAAACCTCTGGTGATGAGCCTTTCTACACCTTATGAGTCAAGATCCATAACATGTCTGCTGCTGGACCAGTACTTGAAGCTGTTGCAATATGGAAAAATTATAATATTATAGGAACTGTTCTATGTTTTATTAATAAGCCTTTTCTAATTTTTTCTTCCTTCCTCCCTTTTTTTTGGGGGTGTGTGTGAAGCTCTAGACCTTTAATTTCAATGGTTTAGAGAACTCCCAGTGAGGAAATTCCTTTTCCCAATGCACATCAATAACGGTTCTAACTTGTAATCTTAGGGAGTTGTCTGTGATCCTGAGAACTTAAATCATTTTTGCAGTTTAACAAAGCCACCCTGTATCAGAGGCAGGGCTCAAAACCAATCTCTCCTGATTCTGAGACAAGCTATTTTTTCACTATGCCACATTTCCTCTCAAAAGTGATATTTAAAAGCATTTGTCCCTAAATGGATGTATGTCCCCTACCTTACATTTATAGATTGCTTTCTCCTTATCCTGTCTCTTAGCCCTGATTTCCTCTCTGACTTTAAGGGAGGGATACATTAGACATTCTAAAATAACTAAACAGCTAAGTTATTATATGCCTTTGGGAAAAAGTGAACATTATGACTTGTTAAATATTGATTTCTGATTTGTTTATCCATATAAACTTGTTAATCAATTAATCTATCTCTAAATATTTATTAAATGTTTCTTATGTGCCAAGCATTGTACTAAGTATTGTGGAAACAAAAACAAGAATGAAATATGCCCTGCCGTCAAGGAGCTTACATTTTAATGGTAGAAAGGACATGTATTTATGTAAGCATATATAATATGCATATACATATATATGTACATACACACATACCTTTGGTGTGGTTATATCATATTTCTTTGTTGCCATTATCATAATCTCTATTTTGAGTTCATTAGGAGCTAGCACCACCATCAAGCAATCAATATGCACTTGTTAAATGCCTATGGTATGCTCCAGCCCAGTGTTAGGTCCTTAGGATACAAAGACAAAAATGTCCCTGCTCTCTAAGAGTTTACATTCTGTTGAAGGTAACGCATACATATATAACTATGTATCAAATAAATACTAAATAAATATAATGGTATGTAGGGAGAGAGCAAGTTGTGGTGGACCATAATGGATAGAGCAGACCCTGTTAATGCAGTTATATCTCTTGGCTATGCTATAGATAGAAATTAATGGAACACAAGAATGTGTAGTTGAAAGCTTTTTTTGCACAAGTAATGTGACCCCCTGCATCACACCAAACATGTATACAAAAAAAAAAAAACAACAGCTGGGAATGGAGTTAGGCAAAAGAGATGACGTTAGTCTCCATGCACCTTACAGGATTGCACCTCCAGAGGGTTATACTAGCCATGGCTGGAGTATTGTTTCTGAGGGGAGAAGGAGGAGAGAGAACTCTTTAGGTTCTACACTGGATGTATTCTTCCCCTTTGTTTGAAAACTGTTTCCTTACAAATCATCTTTCTTGTATCCCCCTTGCTAGTGTTGGGTCAGTGATTTGCAGCATTCCTTTATATGGGCTTAGGACAACTCCCACGGTCTTTCAGGGTAGGAGGATGCTAGCATTTGGAGGGAGGGAGGTTAGGAAAGGCTTCATACAAAAAGTGCTAGTTCAGTCTGTGCATAGTAGGGGCTAGCCAGTTCAAAGCAAAGAGAAATTACACACAGTGTCACATGTGAGGATAGGCAGAAGGTCAGACTGGCAGAGAAAGACACTTTCGGCTCTTCCTTTTATTTTTTTTAAATACTATGCCTCCTCTCTACCCTAAAAACAAGATTGTAAGCCAAAAAAAAAAACCAACCAAAAACTAAGACTTCATTGACTTGGTTAAAATACTGTGAATTATCAAAAGATTAGGCATATCCATAATGAAAACTCTTAATTATGTTTCCTTGAATAATTTTTATCTCACAATATCATTAAGACATTAATATCAAGAGGGGCAGCTAGGTGGCACAATGGATAGAGCACCGGCCCTGAAGTCAGGAGTACCTGAGTTCAAATCCGGCCTCAGATCAAATACTAGACACTTACTAGCTGTGTGACCCTGGGCAAGTCACTTAGCCCCAATTGCCTAAAAAAAAAAAAGAAAAAAAGACATTAATATCAAGCCTGAATATAGATGTTTCTGTAAGAAATGGTACCAAATGCAAAGTCAGATGGATATAATATTTTGACCTAGTGCTTAAACTTCAGTCATTTTGATTTCCCAGCCCCTTGTAACATTGTTTCAACCAAGATAACATTTTTATAGAACTAATTAATGGCACTAGGTAGAGACTACTTGTCATTTTTATATAGGCAAAATAATTATTTTATTCTTGGCCATTTTGTATCACCTATATAACTGCTTCAACTGTCCAGGTAATAAAGAATTGTCTATAATTACATTCTGCATTTATAAAATATTTTTATATGAAGAAAATTGGTCATTGCTTAAAGAAAAAGAACTAGAAAGAATTAAATCACATTTTTCTTAAAGCATAGGTTTTATGAACGAACAATAAAAATCTTGAAACAACTCTTAACATCCTTTCAGTATTTTAAAAAGTATATTCACTTCTAAATTCTTTTGTGACCACTAACTGCTACATTTTGCTTTGTCCTAGCTACTATAGTATCATGTAGCAAAGTTCATTGCATTATTTCTCTTTTCATCTTTGTCTGATGGTCTTGACTTGCAATTATTAGATCAAATATTGTTCTCCCTGAGGTAGCTCAGTTTTTTCTGTTATCTTACCTTCCTTCCAGCTGTTTGTCAAGTGAACTGTGCTTGGAAAGTTAAAAAAAAATTATGTGATTTTGGCAAATAGAATCAATATTCAGTCATTCTCTGTGCTACACTTAATATGCTTTAAGGCTGACAGATCCTTCTCACCCCTTCAGTTTCTGTTTGTTGTTGTTATTATGGGTTTTTGTTTTTCCCCTTTAAATCTTGGAAGTGCATGAGGCTGTGTTATGAAGGCCTGCCAATTGATTGAAACTTATGGATTAGGTTAGAATAACAGTTTCAAATATATTATTGTCTATTAAATAGTAGAGGGGAAAAAAATAAAAAATGAAGTACTTCATTTTATCTTTACATACCTGTATGTGTTCCTGGAATTCCAGCTAATTTTAGAATTTAGAACTATTTCATGCCATACATTCCTTTTATTTGGGGAATATGGTGCTATGTCTTTATCATGTCACATTGACACCTTATCACTGAAATTATTTAAGTAATATTTTTGAAATTAATCTTGTTGGGTATAGTTTAAGAGCCCATTTTGCATTGATAAAGCAGCATAATACAGTAGATCGAGAGCTCGCATTGGAGAAGGGAAGACTTGGAGTCCAGTCCCACTTTTGACATAAACTACCTATGTGACCCTGGACAAGTCACTTAATTTTTTAGTTGTCTTTTAGGCAATTCTCTAAGACTATATGTTGCAGAGAAGATGCCAACATGTTTTTTCCTCATTTGGAGTTCTTTATGTTAGTCAAATCACAAGAACAATGATTGATCCATATCCCTAAAGTGTTTTATATGGCATCTTCTCTGCATCTTGCTGATATTGTACAATATACAAACAGATCATAAATGAAATGTATACAACTCACTAGATAACTGCATTTGTTTTTAGGTTCAATGGTAAATGGATGGGGTTCTGCATCTGATGAGGATCGTAACTTTTCTAGTCATAGATCTAGTGTAGGTAGCTCCTCAGATGACTCCATCTTGACCAGCGGCAGCTTTGCACAAGCACTGGTTGCAGCAGCAGATAAAGCTGGTTTTAGGCTGGATGGAACTAGCCTGACAAAAACAGGTTGGTAGATTTGAAGTTGCCAATTTCTGCATGAGGGAACCTTATGCTATTCGTAATGAGCTTTTCCATCCTCTTAATCATCTTTCTCCTCAATGGATCTGGTTGTAAGGCATTCTTTTAACATGCATGAAAATAAGTTTGGGTGAATACTTACCATAACTCTAGCTAATTTAAGTAATGCAGAGCATCATTTAGTCTTCTAATTTTTCCCTTTATTCTCCACTACTTGATAAACTAACTGATATGTGCTTCTTTTTTATGTTGCAGCAAAGCTACTACTAACTTTGCCATTATTGTTTGATAATATATACTTGCAAAATCCTCACACAATCAGTAAACTTTCTAGTGATAAAAAGTGCTCAACTTTTATTTTTATTACTGTGCCTCTAGCCCATCTCTTTTGCAAATACGTTTTCTGGGAAGACTTTCTAAGCATGGGGTGAGTGCATATAAGTTTGTCAGTCTAGCAGGGCAAATGCCAGATAGTTTTGTTGTTTGGAATTTGTTATTTAATCCAATATTTTTTACTTTATTTTACAGGATGCTAATTAAAAAGAAACCTACTACATTTGCAAGTTAAATTTAATGGTGTTTATACATAGCTTTTTTTAAGATTCAGTTTTTGCTTCTGAAAGTAATAATATAACTGGCAACTTATTTTTCACTACACCAAAAAGAACCTTGTTTTTTGTTCTAAGAAGTTATCATTGAATTTTATTTTTGTCTTTCTTGAAATGAAATAGCTTCAATAACCCACTTGGGTGTGTGTGTGTATCCAGTGTAACTTCACTTACAGTGAGAAAATTCCCTCTACCAAGGCAGATTAGCAATCCTATGCTTCTTATAGTCTTCATAGAATTGAATAGGTCCCTGAATGTTTATGCACGTTCCCAGGATTACATAGCCAATGTGTTTCAGAGCTAGAATTTGAACCCAAGATGCGGAGATTGACTCTCTACCTATTATGCCAAGGGTCCTCTCATATATAGGCAAAAAGACCTAAGTTCATATCTCACCTGTAACTCATAGATTGTGTGGCCTGAGGCAAGTTATTTATACTCAGTGTTCCAGGTATTTCTGTAAGGCTATAAGTTGCAGAACAGTTTCTGATCTGAAAGAGCAGAAGATGGATAGACAGATAGATAGATAGACAGACAGACAGACAGATAGATAGATAGATAGATAGATAGATAGATAGACAGATGCTAATTAAAAAGAAACCTACTGTACACATACATAGAGAAAGAAAGACTCCTGTGTCTAGGAATTATAGAGGTTTATTTTTATTTAAACCACAGAGTAATGTAAGATAACCGTTATCTGAATTTTTTTCTTGATAAGTTTAGGTCAGAAATCAAATGTTATCAAGTGTTTTATGTGGTATATACAATATGTAGGCACAACTTGAAAAGTCAAAGAAACTAAGAAATCAGGTAGCGTCAATTCATTTGTTTCATGTATGCTAATATTAGTAAAACGTCAAGCAATATATCAGATTGCCTTAAAGATAAGCAGCTATATAAATGTGTTTAGAATAAATATTACCTACTTATAGGAGTAATAATGATAGTTGATCAATTTTGGGTAGTGCTTTAAGCTTTATAAAGTGCTTTCTTCAAAATAATCCATTGTATCGTAAAAATAAATGATAGCTGCCATTTATATTAGTTTTTTTATAAGAATCCTGTGAGATAAGTAGTGTATTATCTCAATGTTATAAATGAAACTCTTGGTAACTTACCCACATTCAGAAAGCTTGGGATATCAGAGTTAGTGCTGGAACTCAGGTTTTCAGACTCTAAATCCATTTTTCTTTCCACTGTGCCAAATGCTATCATGTAGAAGGTATGCATGCTAGATTCTATATGGTGTTAAAAGTATTATCCATCATCTTTTTTTGCCAATATAATACTACCATCTTTCCTCGAATAAATGTAATGCATTAAACAAAACAACAACAACAACAAAGAAATACAATGTTTATAAATGTTTGAGAAGTTAGAAGTGGAAATTCATGACTAAATGCACTTTATACTCTATATTCTGATATATAATATACTTTTAAACTGTTGTATGTCATATACCTTAATGTTACTGAAGTGAAAGACTGTATGGAAAAATCATAGAAAACAACTGACTAATAAACACACTGTATGTTTGTGGGGGAAAGGACAGGGTGCAGCAAGATACAAAGAATGCCAGGCCTGGATTCAAGAACCCTTCCTTATCTTCAGTAAGATCCATTCCAGCTTCAGACACTGAACTAGCTGTGTGACCCTGAGCAAGTCATTTCACCCTGTTTGCCTCAGTTTTCTTTATCTGTAAAAAGAGCTGGAGAAGGTAATGGCAAACCACTCCAGTATCTTTGCCAAGAAAACCCCAAATGGGTCACAAAAAATCAGACAAGACTGAAAAACTGAAACAAAATGTTTGTGTGTGGTGCAGTCAAATGAACGATATCTGAGTAAATATTTCTGGAAGTTTTTTCTTTTGGTGTTTTCTAAGAATTTAAGAGTATATTTAGACTAACCTAACACCTAATTAATTTTGGAACTTTCTCCTTCAATATCAGTAAGAAAAAACTGGATGTAGTGAACTATACCTTATGGATATAATTGCTCTAGCTTATTCAAAATCTTAGACATATTGAGCACAAGTTTTGGGTAGTCAGAGTTTTTTCTTCTTTTTTTTTTTTGGAAGGAGTAGCATATTATTTTCTTTGTTGTATGGGTAGTCAGAGTTTTTTCTTCTTTTTTTTTTTTGGAAGGAGTAGCATATTATTTTCTTTGTTGTATGTGATCAGAAGAGTACAAAGAAACCAAAACATTGTCCCTGAAAGACAGTCTTGTTAGCTCGTCTTTAATCAGAGTAGATGTATAAAGGCAAAGTCCTCTTTATTATAATAATGTTTTGTATTTCCCATTCTCATTGTCTTTCTTTTTAGGCAAAGCATTCTCTTCTCAAAGGCCTCGACCAACCAGTCCCTTTTCTACTGACAATAACACCAGTACAGCACTGAATCAGAGTCAGAGGCCTAGGCCTACTAAAAAACACAAGGGAAGTAAATTGGACCAACCCCCATTGCCTCATCGCAGGGAGGGAATGACAGATGGTAGGTTTTTTTGTTTTGTTTTATTTCATTTTACCTCATTGCTATCTCCATATTGGGAAGCTAGAACAAACAATATAAGTGGATGTGATAAGTTGGTAGAAATCATATTCCATTAATTCAAGTCACTTTCTTAAGCACCACATATTTAAAGATCAGAAATGACCCAGACCTTGCCCTAAGAGAGTTTGTATTTTAATAATTATTAAATAAGATGTATATATACAAAGAAGTATCTTAGAAGATAAAATGTGCTAAGAGTAGAGGGATTTAGACAAAGTGCTGTTTACCTAGAAAAATATCTAGCTCTGTGTCTTATTTTAGTGAAATACCTTATGTAAATATACGCCAGTATGAACAGAAATTATCTAACAAGTATATTAAGACACCTTCCCTTGCCCCCATTCATTTGGAATCATTGGAATTCACCATTAGAATAATAGTTAAACAAAGGAATAAAGGAAAGAAGATATACATAGCTAACTTAGCAAATGGATTTCATTAGCTTCTCAAGACTTTTAGGAGGGACTAGAGAGATTAATTGATAGTTTTCCTCCTCCAGTTTCTCTAGCCCATATTACATTCCTAACAGGTGTTAATCTAGGCTTTATTTGAGATGTACTGTAAAAGGGAAAGTATTAATTTTAATTCAGTGCTTGTCAAGGAAACCCAAAATAAAGAATATTGCTTATTGTTATTCTCAATCAAGTCCAAATTTTATACTTCATTTTTACAAAATAATACAGATTATTCAAAAAGATACTGTTAAGAGAATTCAGCAGCAAAAAGTGTACTACACAGAAGTATGGCATCAGAAACCACTTCATACCATCCACTTGGAAAACAGTTTTCCCCTTGGTGGAGTCTAGCTGCATGGTACTGAAACTTAATAGATAGACATTATTTTGCTTCATTGATTTTTGAGTGATAAAAAAAAGTCTCACAATAACTCTGGCATTATGGATTTAACATTAATATTTTATGAGGTGAGAAGCAGCATGGCATAGTAGATAGGGAACATCTGAACTTGGAGTCAGGAATACCTCTGCCACATACTGACTGTGGTGCCCTGAGCAAATTGCTTTATCTCTTAGTGCTGTAGGTGACTACAGGTGCCGATAAGTATTCATTTGAGATAGGCTCCTCACTGGGAATCCCCCTTCACCAATAAAATCACAGGAAAGTCACAAAATAATGTACCCATATACAAAAATCAATAAAATTTATTTGGTATTATTGTATAAATCAACCCTAATTAAAATATTAGATGATCCAGTTCTAGAAGTTGAAACACCATATAAATGGAGAGTTGGAAGCCTAATTCTATTCCACCTCATCCCCTAAATTGTAAGCTTTCTAACTTAACTTTGCATTCGCCTACTCATATCAAGGTCATGTAATTGATCTTATTCACTCTTCCATGTCAGTAGTGGACTACTTACTACACTGACTTCATCACTGAGGAAAATATAGTTAAATGGTGAGATGAATCAGCATCAAACAGAATAATGATTTAATTCAAGTATAGCATCCTCTTACCCAGTAACTGAAACGAATTTAATCAGTAACTTCATACTTTTATCTTTGGTCCATTCCATCCACTCACTCTTCATTTTATTTATTATTATGTGGTTTTCAGTTTGTCCATATCAAAGTATATGATGGACTTCTTTTTTGCAGTCCCTAAAGAATGTAACTTAATTGTTAAGTTAGACTATCTGGAATAAAAATTTCAGCAGGCTTAAGCAGTTGCCATTATTGTCCATCTAAAAGTTAAGTATTTCTAATGGGGAGTGGGTATTTGAGTGGGGAAGGAGAAACTAATAGAAAACTAGTACAATAAAATACAATTTTATTTGGCAGATTTCTAGGTTTTCCTTCAGTGCCCAGCAACTCAGATACTCATGAAAGATTATATCTATATTTCTAACAGATCACTGAAGACAGCACTCAATTAAAAAAAATCACTAAATCCATGTAGTACAGCATGATTTGAATCATGTAGTACAGCAGACATCTCAATCTGGAAATAACATTTTATTCTGAAAGAAATGTTCCACATGCTTTCCTCCCCCAGACACTGACCCTGTTATCTTGAATAATTAGTAACTCCTAATTTAACTAGAGGACGTACATGATAAGTGGGAATAACATTGCAGCTTAGGGAGCTCCCCAAACAGATCCTCATGAGGTATAATCACCATCACTTCAATTAAAGGATAATATCACATAAAAATAAACATGACCTAATACTTCCTCTATAAATTAAAAGAACTATAAATTTTCTTGAAAAGTCATTTGAAGGAAGGTCCTTACAGAGCCTTAAGGAAAATGTGTTCTTACTGAATGCATTCGAATTTCCTTTTAGATAACCATGTGGGTTCCAAAAAGAGGAAATTAGTAAAGAAAAAAAGGGAAAGAAAAGAAAATGCACACACAAACACACACATATATATATGTTGAAAAGGGAAAAAATACATACATTATACAAAATATTAGAAACTTTTGGAAGTAGTCTCTCCTTACTATTTTACTAAAAAGCTCTGTAGATTAATACAGAGAAGATATAACAAAATGAGCAAAAGGGGAAATGGGAAAAAGACTATGACAGAAACTTTAAGAGATTTCAAAATAAAAAGCACAATTTTGAACTGAGAGGATTTTTAGTGCTAGTAGAGAGTCAGTCAAAAAAAAAAGAGGAGCCTACCATATGGACAAATTGAAAACCATGCAATTATAAATGGAAAGAATACAAAGGAGGGACAGTAGGTTTTCCTCATGAATAAATGTGTGGTTAATAAAGAATCCAGGTATTTCAAGAATCATTAAGAGGAAAAAAAACAAGAAAGAATGTTAGAAGAACTAAGTACTGTTATTATCATCTTCATGTTTTATAAGAATTATAAATATGCTATCTGGAAAAATTAGCAAACATTTTTATTTTTAAATCTCTACTATGTGCCAGGCACTGGGATACTACGCACTTAGAGATACAAAATAAAGAAATAGGCCCTTCCCCTCTGAATTTACATTCTTTTGAGGGAAATAATATGTACACAGAAAAGTAAATACAAAACACAAAGTGTATTCAAAATAACACAGGGCAGGTAATTTTGGAACGGGATTGAGGGAGAGATATTAGTATCTGGGTAAATAAGGAAAGACCTCATGTACGCAATGGCACTTGAGCTTAGCTTAGAAGGAAGCTAGTAATTTCAAGATGTGGCAGAAGGGAGGAAGTGAATTTCAGGAATGAGAGGCAGCCTTTGCAAAGATATAGATACAGGAGTTGTAATGTAGTATGTGAGAAAGAGCAAATCAGAGTTTGTCTAGACATTAGAATTCATAAAAAAGAGCAATGCATAATAAATCTAGAAAAGCAGACTGTATTCAGAATGTGAAGGGTTTTAAATGTCAAACAGAGGAAACTGTATTTGATCCTAGAAGCAACAGGAGACACTGGAGCTTAGAGAGCAAGAGAATGATATGATCAGAACGGTCCTTTACAAGTATAGTACATATTTAGCAACTCTGTGGAGAATAGATTGGAGAGGAGAATGATTGGAGGCTGAGAGACCAATTAAGAAGCTTTTACAATAATCAAGATGAAAGATGATAAGGTCCTGAAGTAGGGGTGGGGGAGGGTCTGGTCATATAATAGAGAGAAGGGGGGAAGATATCAGAGCTGTGGTAGAGATAGAATCAACAAGACTTTTCAGATGGTGGGTGTGGAGAGTAATGGTGAATGAGATTGAACAGTCAAAAATTGGTCAAAGATTATGAACCTAGGTGAATAGAAAAATGGTGCAACTTTTATAGAAAAAGGAAGATTAAGAAGAAGAGCAGTTTTGGGATATAAAGATCTATTTTAGATACATTGGATTTGAGATGCCTATGGGAACTTCAAGTTGAAAATTTCCAACAGGTAATTGGTAATGTAGGAGTAGAGCTTAGGAGAGAAAGAAATTATGCAGATTTGATATTCATTTGTATAGAGATGACAGTTGAACCTATGGGAACTTATTATATCACACAGAGAGTATTTAGAGAGAAGAGGTCCCCAATACAGGACCTTTGGTTGATGAGCAAGAAAAAGAGACTTCAGAAGAAGCTGGCAAATAAGAGGAGTAGAGAAAAGTTGTGTCTTGCAAATCCAGAGAGGAGAGAGTATCCAGGAAAAACAGGTGGTCTACAGTGTGAAATGTGTCATCAAGAAGTATGAAAACTGAGAAAGAATCATTGGATTTAGCAGTTCAGAGATCATTGGAAACTTTAATTGATGAGGATAGAAGCTAGGTTGCAAGTTAAGAGAGTGAGAAGAGAGGAAATGGAGGCAACTAGGATATGAGGCTTTTTCAAGGAGAAAAGATACAGAATGATAGTGTAGGAGAATAGAAGAATATAGTTAGGCTTTTTTTTGTTTGTTTTTATTTTTTAAGGATAGCACAGAAACCTGAGCAAGGAAGAAGCCAGCAGATATTGAAGAGATTGAAGATGAGAGATGAGTTGGGGTCAGGGGACTGGAGTGTGTATAGTTACAGGAGCAGGTTGCCAATAGAGACATGAGGTATAGGATCATGAGTATAAGTAAAGGTGTTAGTTTTGACTAGGAGAAGTATCATATCTACCTCACAGTAAAAAAGAAGATAGAAAATTATTTCAAGGTATTTTGAAATATAGAATAAGAGAAAAGAGGGAACATGACAAATGGCCTGTTATTTTCTCAGTGAAATATAAGGTGAACTGCTTCACTTGAGAGGGAGGGGAAAGGAGTTGATATTGGAGGCCAGAAAGGAGAAGAGAAAGTTTCAAACAGCTACAGTGGGGAAAGTGACAGAAAGTCAAATTAAGGAAGGGCAGTAGAGACAAAATTAGATAAATTTATATCCCAGTCAGCATGTAGTACAATCTTTGACAAAATATATGGTCTTATTATAACCCCATGAAACATTCAATATGTACTCTGAGCATTAGTTATTACTTATAAAAATAAGTACATTGAAAAAATATAATGTATTAGTTGTAGCTCATTAGCTAACTCATGAAACACATAGCCAGAATTGCTTGTCAGGCAGAATGTTAATTGCATCTAATGAATGTTAGCTTAACCCCTGGACTGTTGTTAAATGTGCCACCTACATGGGTGCAGACAGTCAGCTGTCACATGCGCTTGAGCGTACAGTTCTTAATGTCCCAAGGGCATCATTTCCTGTGGAGATCATCAGAGAAATTTAGTTCTTTCTTGGGCCTCTGATTAAGAGATGCTAGAAACCCACATCTTCGCTAATGCTGTTATTACTCTTATGTGTCATGGCGTGTCTGTTTTGGAAGACAGTCTGAGGTGTGGGCAAGTAGAAAAGATAAATTGCTTTGTGAGCAAACTCTGAACTACTTTCTGTATTCCTGGTAGGTACAGAATTTACAACTAATAATGCATCCTATGCTAAGAAACACTTCTTGCTTTTTCCATTTCAAAAGATCTATTGCCAGAATACTGATAGAAAGTAATAAATGATTTTAACGTTATGTATTTATGAGTCTAATGATTAATTTTATTCTCTTCTAATTAATCTTGCACCAACTCTACCTGTATTGAGCCATTGTTTATCTTCAGCTTGAAGCAAAAGTATTATTCCATTACACTTTAGTTCACTCTAAACCGTATTCAACATTTTTAGATCTTCCACCACCACCAGATCCCCCACCAGTTCAGGGTGTAAGGCACCAAATAGGCCCTGGCCAACATGGTGGTAACATGGAAAATTCTGCAGAGAGAAAAGGAAGCTCTCTGGAGAGGCAACATGCATCTCCCATAGATGAAACAAAGAATTCATTGGATCTACACGCTAGAACCTCACTAGAGTGGCAGCGAGAAACGCAGGAATGGATAAGCTCCACAGAACATCAAGAAGATTTAAGGAGAGTCCCACACAAACAAGCATTTGGATCAGGTGTGTGGTGATATAGTCCAAAACAAAGTGTAGACATTAATTTTTTTACCAGATGTTTTAATATGAAAATTATATTAGGATAAGTACGAGACAATTAATGGGTTTGGATACCTTCACAAAGCAGATCAAGAAAATTATCTTGCTGTTTTTCTTGCCTCTCCAAAAGGGCAATAAAGTGAAGGCTACCTGCACCATCTGCTACCATACACCCTGCTTATTTGATAAAATTTTGCCCACTAATGTTTATCTCAAAAAATAAATCTACGTGTAAGGATAGATTTACTGTTACTTTAATCACTTTGACTAAATTGATTGGACAGTTTTGATAATTGCTTGGTTCAGACAAACAAGGCTCAGAATCATCAATTACTTGGGACTTTCCCTTTAACAGGAATAGTGGATCTAAGCTTAGAAGAGACCTTAAAGATCATCTCTTCCTATTTTCTCATTTCATAGATGAGAAAAGTGAAGGCCCAAGTGATTGTCCATTGTCCAAGATCACATATTAAATAGTAGAGACAGCATTTGAGCCCAGGTTCTGACTCCAAATTTTGTGTTCTTTCTAATGTTATCTAAATTAATATGTGAGTGGATTTGAAAGCTTTAATAGAATACAATGTTTGCTTTAATTGTTGAGTCTTTTTTCAGTTGTGTCTGACTCTGTGACCCCATTTGGGGTTTTCTTAGCAAAGATATTGGAGTGGTTTGATATTTCCTTCTCTAGCTCATTTTACAGATGAGGAAACTGTGGCAAACAGGGTTAAGTGATTTACCCAGCGTCACACAGCTAGTCAGTATGTGAGGCCAGATTTGAACCCACAAAGATGACTATTCTTGACTCCAGGGCCAGCCCACCATCCACTTTGCAGAAACTTTTGTTTAGTAGATAGCATTTATATTCTAATTTAAGGTGTGTAAAAAGCTTTGCAAATAAGATCTCATTTTAACCTCACAACTCTAGTGCTGTTGTTATCCTTATTTTATACATGAGGAAACTTGTTCAGGGTCACACAACTAGTAAGTGTTTGAGGTAGGACTTGAACTCAGATCTTCTTGACTCTAAAGTGTAGTACATCATCTACTACACCACCCCTGCAGTGCTTAGGTTATCTGGAAAAGTGACCAAGTTGCCTTTGTCTTTGTGGGTACAATTTAACTTCTTCAGCATCTGACAGAAATAATATATCATAGATACGTATTTTAAGTACCTTTTCTGGGACAACTTCTGAAATCATAAATCATGAAGTTCAGATGATCTTTTTTAAAAAAATACGTTCCTCCTCTCTTTTGCAAATTGAATCAACCCTTTCTAGAACTGAACCCTAGTTCAGTTTTGTAAACTTTTTTTAAAGTAAAGTTCCAAGCTGAAGAATTTCTAAAGACAAAGCAATTACAATCTATAAAAGATGGTGTAGTTAAAATAAAAGAGGAGTGACAACAAAAAGGTAATACTAGAATCTATAGAATAATTCTCATAATTTAAACTGAAACAAAAACTTACATTCCTTTCATTCTTAATGAAAAATCTAATCAATTTCATTGAACTCAAGGTTATTTTCAGATCTGCTTTTGGTAAGCAAACTAAGATTCGTTATGTACAGTTCTCTTTTATAATGAGTCCAAATTTTATAAATAAGGTAAAATAATTTTTGTATCACCAGGACCTAAGCAAATCCTGCTTGGATCTAAATCTTTTTACATATAGAAATTCCTGAAATATTGGGGATTTATTTGTTAATTTTACTTGATATTGAACCATCAAGCAAATTATTGTAAACTTCACTTTCAGAGGGTTGAATGTCTCCTTCACCCCCAGACAACCTTTTTTTTTTTTAGCCCTTTCTTGCACTTCTTTTTCAGAGGAGGCACTGGTACCCTACAGTAAGCCCAGCTTCCCATCACCAGGTGGACATAGCTCGTCAGGAACAGCTTCTTCAAAAGGATCAACTGGACCCCGAAAAGGTGAAGTCTTGCGGGGAAGTCACCAGTGCAATGCCAGTGACCTTCTTGACATAGGCTACGTGGGATCCAATAGTCAAGGACAGTTTACAGGTGAATTATGTAAGTAGTTTCTAATGATAGCTTAGAAGTGGCTGTAGTTGAAAAATAATATAGAGGAAACAATTTGTATGAATAGAATTAGAGAATGAAAGAAACACTTCTTGACTGTCAGAGAAAATTCAAATTATTAACCCAGACCATTGCTCTTTATAGCACTAAATGAAATGTACATTTTTACCACTTTTTTATTACAAAAATACTTGTTTTTTAATTTAGACAGTCTTACTCTTTACAAGCATAAGAGACAGTAGGGTGTCATGTCAAACTGAGCTCAAGTTCGACTTCAGACACATCCTAACTTTGTGACTCTAGGCAAGTCAGAGTGGATAGAGCTCTGGGCCTGAAGTCAGGAAGACCTTAATTCAAATTTAACCTCAGATGCTTTCTATTTGTGTGAACCTGGGAGAGTTACTTAACCTGTTTGTCTCAATTTCCTCAGTCTTATAAAGGAGGAATTCTACTTCATAGAATTGTTGTGAGGATTAAATGGGATTATATTTGTAAATATAGGAAGTGTGCCTGGCACTAGTAGGTACTCAATAAACACTTATGTCCCTTGAATATCCTCAAGCAACCAAGACTACAAATTGCAGAACAGGTGCCAATCTGCATTTAAAGACAAAGTTTCCCGCCCGGAGTTCCCAGGATTGATGAAATTAAGGGTCCACCCCACCTCCTTCAAACAAACAAAAATATTCTTAAAAGTCTGCAAAAATTATAATTTACTTTTTAATTTTTCCCCCATTTTACAACTGAATTATAAGGAATTGAACTTTTTTAAAGGAGTTTTAGGAATGGTCAATTCTACATTTTTGTTGTTCAATCATTTTTCTATCATGTCCAACTCTTTGTGACACCATTTGGGGTTTTCTTAGCAGAGATACTGGAATGTTTTGCCATTTCCTTCTCCAGCGCATTTTACAGATGAAGAAACTAAGGCAAGCAGGGTTAAATGACTTGTCTAGGGTCACATAACTAGTGTCTGAGGCCAAATTTGAACTAGCTGCTGCTAATTGTGCTATGATTCCTAAATCCAGGTTTTAGTACTAGAGAAAAAAATAATACTTAGTATCATATGTTTTCTGATACATATTTAGAAGAGGTAAATACACAAAATAAACAAGTCTAAGTATTTCTACTAGAGAGACAAAATTCAAAGAATCTGAACCCCAAATCTTTCTGCCATCACAATGTACACTCATGATTTATAGTGTTCCCCAAAACAAAAGACATAATTCCATAATCAAGATTAAAGAGGACAAAGTTTAGATGACAGCTCATATTCATCAAACAAAACAATAGTCACCACTTTCCATGTACCCTAGAGAAGCATTTTCCTAAAACCATTCTATTCTTCCTTAACAACTTCCTCTACCTGATTAAAGGTGAAGTTAAGAGAGACTTCTATTAATTGAATTAATCGAAGACCTAATTCCATCTCAGCTAAGTGGCAAAGTGGATAGGGCACAGGGAATCATAAAGATTCATCTTCTTCAGTTCAAATCTGTCCTCAGACACATACTAGCTGTGTGATCCTGAGCAAGTCACTTTAACCCTGTTTGCCTCATTTTCCTCGTCTGTAAAATGAGCTGAAGAAGGAAATGGCAAGCCATTCCATATGTCTACCAAGAAAACCCCAAATGGAATCACAAAGAATCAGACACAAAACTGAAACAACACAACAACAAATGAGATACTTCTATCAATTGAATGAATCAAATTCTATCTCATTATCCATGTTTCAGGGAGGAGTCTTTCCTGGACTGATTTGACTTTTCCCTTTAGAAACTAGTTAATTCTTTGTTAAGAATGATATAAAAAAATTTCAGTGCAGGACATTGTTTCATAATTGACAGTTAAAGAAATATTACTAAAGTTTCTCATTCATATTAATTAAACCAAGAACTTTAAACTAAAGTACTATTGATACAGATTAGATAAATAGCAAGATATAGATAAGATATAAGCCATATATATGTATACACACACATATATGGCTATGTATATGTGTATGTCTTTACCTATATCTAAAGAAGGAAGTGGAAATGATTGAGCAGGAAGAAGAAGGTTGGTTTCATATGCTTCTACAGAGCTTATCAAATATTTACTTATCCTAGAAACAGTTGACTTACAGTTTTTATCATTTTCAGACTCAGAATTTATGGTTGATAAAGTTACCTAATTCAGTAGACATTGGGCACCTTGACACTGGGACCAAGACTTTGAAGAAAGTCTTAGTAGAAAGGGTGGAAACCTGAAACATATTTATATAAGCAAAGGCTTTGACTCGACTCTGCTCTTACTTAATTGAACTCAGTTCTCTAAGAACTCACTTGTTTGCTGTAGAGAAGAAAAAAGTGTTAGAGTTGGAGTCAAAAGACCTGGATTTAAATCCCATTTCACACACTAGTTAGATGTATATCATGGAAATGTCATGGCCTTAGTTTTCTCATTTGTAAAAGGGAAGTAATAGCAATATTTACACAGAGTTATTGTGAGTAAAAGTGCTTTTTAATACTTAAAGTCCTAAATAAATATAAAATATTATAGTATTAAATTAATTTAATTTCCACATTTACTTAGATACCTAAAGAAATGCATAAAAATTATTAAACGTTTATTTTGTGCCAAGCATAGTGTTAAACACTGGTGATACAAATAATAGGAATTTTCCTCCCCATCCCCAGAATCCAAATGCCCTATTCAACTTTGTTGAAAAAAATCAAAAACCTATCTGGCTTAGCTTCTCAAAATTACTGAATTTATATAATTTGTAGTGTTTATACCTCAAGTTGTAATTTTTATTAATAAGGAAAAATACCAGATTCACAGAGATCATATTCATGAAGGAGAAAAAGAGATTATTATTATTGTTATAAAGGCCAAATCTGGTTTTGCCTTTTTTTGTTTCTGTCATAGGTTAAATGTCAGTGGTTGTTGGCAAAACAAGTGGGGTTTCCAAAGAAGAAAGTGGTTACCTTAAAGAAAACAAGGAAACTTCTAGTCCTTTGATGCAAGTTCAATCAAGTTAACAGAATGTTAAATGCCTGCTATATGCCAGGCTCTATGCTAAGCACCAGGTGTACAAAGAAAAATATTCCCTCTCCTCTCCTCAAGGAGCTCACAATCTAACAGGGGAAACAACATGCAAATAGATATGTGCAGACAAGTATGTACAAAATAAATTGGAGATAATCTTATGTAGAAAGCATCAGCATTAACAGGGATCAGAAAAGACTTCTTGCAAAAGTGTGGTTTTAGCTGTGACTTGAAGGAAACCAGGAAAGCCAGGAGGCATAAATGAGGAAGGAGAGAGTTTCAGGCATGGAGGACAGTCATTGAAAATGCATAGAATTAGGAGATAAGAATTTCTTGTTCTGGAATATGCAAGGAAGCCAATTCATTGAATCTCAGATTACCTGGGGTATGTGAGATGGGGATACTACAAAGGTAGGAAGGGATCAGGTTATGCAGGACTTTAAAAACCAAACAAGATTATATATTTGTTTCTGGAAGTGTTAGGGAGTTACTGGAGTTTGCTGAAAGCATACAAACACAAGTATAGTCTTGGGTTTTTTTCTGAGGGGGTGTTGTTTTGTTTTTCTTGTTGTTCTGTTTTGTTTTGTTTTAGTATTGTTTTTTTCATATCAACTTGCAGCCATTATATAATGTATGCTGCTTGATAAACTATTTCTAGAAAGCCATCTCTAAGTTGACAAGAAGGCCAAGCAGAATTCAGCTGACTCCTTGCCTGCTTTGTTCACATAGACAGCAGTCTACAGTGAAATTCCTCACAACTTAACAGACGGTTCATTTTCCACCTCCTATGTATGGGACCTTACAAATTAAAAAAAAAATGTTTCTTTCTTCTCCCTTCAACATAACTGGTATCCATAGAATGCATAACTCTATGCATGTTCTCTTAATAGCATATGCAAATGTTTATTTTTCAAACCTGTGATTTTACTAGTGATGGAATTTTCCATGTGGAAATTCTCTCCACCAATGCATATTAGCAACACATCTTCAGATTATAGTCTCAGACTATTGCCCTGGAACACTGAGAATTTAAGTGACTTGTCCTTGACTGTACATATAATATGTGTCAATGACAGTAATTGAACCCAATTCTTACTGACACCAAGACCAGTCCTCCATCTACTATACCACACTTCTTCCACATGAATGATGATTCCTTACATTTATATAATGCTTCAATTCAATTTAACAAACTTTTATTGAATACCACCTATGTTGAAGGCACTGCGCTAATTGCAGGGAATGTGCAGATATAAAACACCTCACTCTTTGTCCTCAAAGATCCTCAAAGTCTACTAAGGAGAAATATCATTATATTTGATCCCCAAAACAACCCAAGCAAATATTATTATCCCTGTTTTACAGATGAGTAAACAGGAGCTTTGAGACAAGTCAATGTGACTTATCTGCAGTTTCACCGATATTAAGTTGCAGAGGTAGGACTCACACAGGTCTTTCTGGTTTTGAAAATATACAACTTCTTTTTAAATCAGAAAAATAATGGGGCAGAAAACATAGGAAGAGGTGATTAACATAAGTAAAGAGTATGTATCATGGCTCATGAAGACCAAGGGGGGGTTATGGGAAAGGAAGAGAATAAGCATTTATTAAGTACCCACGATGTGCCAGCCACTGTACCAATAAAAATATTATCTCTTTTGGTCCTGTGAGTCCTGGTACAGCCTTAAAGGCATTCTGCAAACAAGAAAACAGTTACATGGGCAATGTGCTCCAAAGCAGGAACAGCATTCAAATGTGGGATCCAGTTGTATGTGAATCTCCTCTCCTAACCTAATTCGTGCCATTTCCCCACCACCTCACATTTTCAGTGGGTCTACCAATCTGACTTCCTGAAACGGTGAAAAAAAAAGTCTGTGTTCTATCAGATTCATTGGAGCAACCAGTATTCTCTGTATGGAGGATTGCTAAGGAACAGTGTAAGGAGCGTTGCTTGGAGAACATGGTAATGTTTAAGATAGAAGCCATGAGTACTTTTAGTAATCTTTTGTTGTCCTTGAATGTCTCTAAACCAGTTTTGAGCCTGCTTTTATTTTTGAACTAAATGATTATAACATTTCTTCCTTCTAATGATCAGCATGCCTTAACCTGATTTTCTTTCCCCCTATTAGGAATAGAACTGGAAACAGAAGCGTAACAAGTATATTTTAAGAAATTGCTTTCATGAAACTAACATTAACTGTAAAATGTGTCCAGCTTAGGTTATTGAAGTGACCACTTAAGTCATCTGCTTGGCATAATTCTTGCAATTGTATTTTTTTTATGAATTTATTTTTATCTCTCTCTCTCTCTCTCTTTGTATTAGAGTAGTTGAAAAGAGAAATGCAAAGCTGCTCTGAAGGACCATCAGGTCTGAACTCATGGAAGTGAGGACACTAAACAGTGCAATGAACAATTTCTTTATTTATGTACTATTAAAAGAACTGTAAATGCAATGTAAAGACACACAGCCACACATATCCCACAGATATTTTACTTGTATTCTCTTAAAGACACCATCCACCTTAACTATTTCTTGTCAGGAGTATATAGAAAAGAAAGAAAAAAATCACCCTCCAGGATGAAAAGGATTTTCCTCTGTATATAATTTCTTTTGTTGCATTGCTATGCAAGCTCACTCTCTTTTTAGCTATGTTCATATTACTGTCTGTTCTTACTAGTCTGTTGTACTATATGTGAATTAATAGGCTGTGGTGCCATATATTAACTTTTAATCGTGTAACTTTTATGTTTAAAGTTTGCACTGCAATTTTATTTGGTGATAAGCACAAATCTCTACTCCTCATGACATGAAGAAAAAAGACTGAATGTGAAGGGAGTTTATTGTACTGTAAGCTATGTTGAGTAATACAGGATGTAACAGATTATGTTATATGATTTTCCATTGGGGTGTAGGACTATGTAGAAGATGAAAAGGAAAATTGATGTTGTCAAAGGCTTATTTGAACATCAGGGATTAATTCAATAAAAAAAAAAAGCAAGATGGCTGCTTTTACTGTTTTAAAAAGTGTATGGGGTTCAAAAGAAAGGTGTTCAAAAAGAAAGGAGTGAATATATATAAAATATTCATGTAGGTATGATATACTGAAATTGATGAAAAAAATAAGGTTATCTGGAGTGTCAGTTTTTACCTGCCCAAATATGATTGAACAATATGTGATTTAATATAAACAAAATAAATTAAGGTGTTTCACTAAAGCTGTATTTATATTACAGTTTTAAAGCATTTTATGAATTGCCATAATTAATCTCTCCAACCCATTAAGTCAAAATATGATGTGAAGTTCCCCAAGGAAACAAATAATATAAACTCTGGAATATCTATCAAGTAGTTAAAGATGTAATTTATCACTAGATCATACTCAGGCTTCTTCCAAATAAGAAATATGTTATAATGTCTTGTTTCATCTTTATAATACATGCACAGTACACTAGAGGATAGAGCTGCATCACTGAAATTCATAACTTTTTAACAATGCAATTTACATAAAAATATGTTTTATTTAATTAAGAAGTAAAATGTATTCCACCAAACTTGTAGTAGGATTATAAGTGCTTGAAAAGCAGTGCTAAGAGTATGTTCATTTCATGGTAAGTAGATTTCTTGAAATAAAGCTGAACATTTTCAAAAATTGGCTCCCAACCAAAAAGTATAGTTGATCCACTTTTATAAGTGAATTGAAAAAAAGAGATTAACAAGAAAACAGTGCATGTTTATATTCTTTTTGTATAAAGCCAAACCTTGTAAGTGGACATTAATAACAGCATCCTGCTTTGTCATTTGTTTTCATGACTCAAAATAATATTTTTCTGCAACTCAAGAATGAAGAAAATTATTAAAATTTTGAAATATCTATTAGTTGTTATATAAAAATCAATCAAAGCAAAGTTATCTTGAAATTCTCAGTTTTAAAGTTTGCCCACATGGCATGTTGACATTTTTAGAGTCTGCTTAGGTCTATCCTTTGTCATTACTCTCCAAGAGGATTCACTGTTCCTTTCAACAAAAAGTTTGGCGCCAGCTCTGCAACAAGAAGACTTTTTAAGTCCACACTTAAATATATTGTTGGCTTTAATTCCCCTACTTCTACTTCTCATTATATTAGCAGAGTAGTTGGCATAGTCAAATTTATTTCTTCTCTTTACTTTTCCTAAACCCGTACCAATATAGGCAAACATTAGGAACCAAGCTGTGCTTTGGGGGGTGAAGAAACATCTATTCTTCACTACATACCAGTGACTCCACAATGGGCAGTAAACAGAGTTCAAGTTCACTTTTGGACATACCCACATCATCCTACCCAGATCAGTGTCTGCATCAGTGTCTGCAACTTTAATGAGTTTTATTTTCCTTCTGATATGAAAGAGTATCTGATAAAAGTGTGAGCACTGTGTTGGCAATGATAATATAAACATCCAGAGACCGTAAGGCAGAGAGATTTCAGACTATGGTATTTGCAATGCCAGATTTGAGTGTCTTCAACCACTCAATTTAAAACTTTTCAGCCTCAGAGTTTGGTTCATATCTCTGAGTAGTGTGTTATTTTAGTCAAATGCATGTAACCTATTCACAGTAGCTACTAAAAACACCCTTATCTGCTCAGCTGACATAAATTTAAGGGCTTGGGCTAGAAATGAGTGGTTGTTAACGACTGGATGTATAAGTTTATACAGTATACTTAGCTGAATGCCTTATCAGAATGGTCTATGTTCCTTGTTATCCCCACATCTAGCTAAATTGGTCTTAAATTACTTACAAAATGGAGAGTGTATTTTACCAAGATATGGCCTACATACTGACATACAATGATATTATAGTTATCAAATGGAATTCAGCAATAATATCAAAAATCAAAAAACCATTATTCATCTTGCTAAATATAAGAAGTCAAATAGGATGTAAGCCAAGACATCAAATCAAATGTATAAACATTCGTTACTAACTGCAAAGTTTACTTTTCCTTGTCGACTGTCTTAGTATAGTTAGAATTTCATTACACTCAGTTCTCTGTTCCATAAGTCACAGAGCAAATACATGTAAATCTATAAATTGAAGGCCTCCACAGGTTTATGTGGATGTAGGGAGTATCATCCCACTTTGAAGTCAAGGATAATGCTACCTCACAGCCACTTCTGCATAAGCACAATATTATTTAGTTTGAAGAACTCCTTTTTATGAAATGCCTGTGACTGTCAGAGCAAATGCTCATCTTTGGCTCTGTATTTATGTTGTAGATACAGTACTTCTGTTCTAAATCTTTTCTATACCATTTTAAAGTGGAGATAGAATAGCATTGGTGCCAACGCAATGAGCTACATGAAATCACTCCATTGATTATGAGTCCAACTCAAAAAGAGAATGAAAGTAGGAAGCATAGAAGGGTAATTGAGTTCAGCACTGGTGTAATAAAGGTTAAATAATAGACCAGGAAAATAAAAGCATTAGACTTTTCATTCACTTCCATATTATATGGTGAAGACCCACCCATAGAGATGTTATAATAATATCTTCTGGTGTAGGGGGGAAGTTGGATCAGATGACCTCTACAGTCTCTCCCAACTCTATGATTCTATGAAATTTATTAATATATAACTTCATATTTTGTTGTTCTAAGAATTTCAATTAGTCTTCAGTGGGTGTTGAGTTAAAGTTTATGTTTAGCTTTGGTGGAACACCTTTCAATTTCTGTCAAAAATTTATACTATTATCTCTTGGCAACATAATCATAACCATCACTATTAATTTCAGATATGTGATTTATCTGCTCCAATGGGAAGTGATTGTGTGTGTCAGTATTGAAGTTGTACAGGACTATGATATTCACTAACTTGTTCATCTGCCTCTATATTTTGCTTCTGAAATGACATGACAAGAATTTGGTATATATAACAACATGTTATAACAACATTACATGAAGTGTACTATTTTCTTTTCTAATATTTGTACTTAAAACAAACCATAGTACAATCCCAATATGATTTAATTTGCTATTTCTTTTTTTATTTCATTTTGATCCAGGCCATTGATTGTGAATTTATCATGTTTTAAGATGAGGGATGTCGTGGCAGCACTTAGACTTTTTTATATTTGTTTTTCTAGATTTATTTTTGTCTATAGTTTGTTCAAGCCACCAAAACAAACCCCAACTATTAATGTGTTGCATTGGTATTGTTAGTACAGCAAAGTTAAATTGGCATAAGAAGTTGGTTACTAGTACTGTCAAAAAATTGTGTATTGTATATTTACTGGGGAAAAATAAAACATTCACATTTCAAATCTGTCAAAAGCACTCTGTGAAATAATCTTAACCATTCACAATAAAAAATACAATGTAAGCCCTTTCACTTTTAGACCACCATACTGCAACTTATAAACAAATATATATATAGTACAAAGGGCTATAGGCATTTCAAAGCTCTTTTGAAAATTTAGATTCATTGCTAGTTTTGTTAGTGGTAGAAATTAGATGAGAAGTATCTGTGAAGAAAATAGCAATTCAATATACAACTAATAGCTTATATAAGTGGTATTGCAAAATTACAAATATAACTAGCATATCATTCCAGCTTTGATGAGCTGAGCTAAAGCCCCATAAGTTTATATATGTGTAGCTTCAGGATCATCTATGAAATTGTGCAATATGATAGTAAAAACTCTCATTGACAAAAGAAGAAGAAGAAGAAAGAAGAAGAAGAAGAAGAAGAAGAAGAAGAAGAAGAAGAAGAAGAAAAGAAGAGGAGGAGGAGGAGGAGGAGGAAGGGAAAGGAGGAGGGGGAAGGGGAGGAGGAGGAGTTTGATTTAGAAATATTTTAAACTCAATAGGAAAACAGACAGGAGATTAGAGAAGGAGATTTGAGTGGGAATATAGTATTGGGGAGTGAATCAACATAAGTAAAACAGATTTCATCTTCAAAGAGTGAATTGCAAAGGGGAATTATATGGGTTAAAAGGCAAATATAAGAACAAGTGATCAAAGTCTGACCAAGGAAAAGAGAGGAAGATAAAATAAGGAGATTACTCAGGTTATAGCTCACTCATGTTTGACACGATCTTCTTGTTATTCACTTCAGCTTTATAAAGAAGGGAGCAGAGGCAGCTAGGTGGCACAGAAGATAGAGCACCCACCCTGGATTCAAGAGGACCTGAGTTCAAATCCGGCCTCTGACACATAGCACTTACTAGCTGTGTGACCCTGGGCAAGTCACTTAACCCCGCTGCCTAACCAAAAAAAAAAAATAAAAAAAAATAAAGAAAGGAGCAAGGGCAGGGCAATGAGGAGAAAGAGCACAAGAGGATAGGATGGAGATCAATACAAAATCAGTTATCAATCCTGAAGGCAAATGTCTCACCCAAATGAACTCACCCATAAAATTGATGAGGATAGAATGCTTTAGAAATTGGAATCTAGTAATGGTATTTATAAAAAGTACACTTGAAACGTAAAGTTTCAGAGATAAAATAGGGGGTTAGGACAGAATCGATTAAGCCTTCTGTGAATTAAAAATAAAGCCGAGGTAACAATTATGATCTAAAGGGGAAAGGAAGACAGAGTTATAAGAAATAAATAAGAAAGCTATGTTATACTTTACAGTATTGTAAATATCAATAGACAAAATGTAAAACTATAATCATTATATATATAAACATACTTTTTCAGACTTGCACAAATCTAACAAAAATATAAGCAATATAAACAAGAAGCTCTGTCTCTGCAGAGAATTTCAGGAAAAAAAACCAAGATAGATCTGTGGAGATTACTGAATAACAATTGAAAGGATTAAAGAATTACACATATTTCTAAGCTATACAAGATAGCTTTGTAAAAACTGGCCATGTACTATGGCACAAAAACCTCATAAATAAGTATAGAAATATAGAAATATTAAGGAGATCCTTTACTGACCATGAAGAAATAAAAAGTATATCCAACAAAGAGAATTTCAAGAAAATATTCAAATTTAATTAGAAATAATAAGTGAATGATTAGTGGATAGAACATATCTCGTAGAAACAATATATAGTTCTGTCAAAGAAAATTATAATAGTTAAGGAAATGATCATATTTTGGGGTACATTGAACAGTTCTTTGAAGGAAAATGTAAATTTCTGAGTACTTTAATCAGTAAAAGTGAAAAAGAATGTATTAACAAAATAAAATTGCAGTTAAAAAAACTGGAAAAGTACACACAATACACACACACACACACACACACACACACACACACACACACACATACACATATGTAACAGCTAACTACCAAAACAGAAATTCTGAAAATCAAGGAAAAGGTAAACAAAATTGAAAACAAAACAAAACAAAAAGGTATTGAATTAATACATAAAACTAGGAGTGTTTGGGTAAAAAGAAAGAAGGAATTCACTTTCAATAAAAAAAATAAAAAGGAAGATTTATAACAAATGAATAAAGGAAATTAAAAACTAGTTTGCTTGATTACATGCCAACAAAACAGATGAAGTTTTGAGTATCTATAGAAATATAAAATATCCAATTGGAACAAAAATACATATCTTAGATAACTTGATTTTAGAAAAACAAATTAAGACAGAAATGAACTCCCAAAGAAAAAAAGACCAGGTTGAATTGCAAGTAAATTTTATGAAACATTCAAAGAAGATTTAATGCTAATATTACATAAGCTATTTGCAAAAATAAGAACAGAAAATATTCTATCAAATTCCTTTAATACATCAAATATGTTCTTGATACCTCAATAAGGGAGAGACAAAACACAGAAGAAAATGACAGACTAATATCTCCAATGAATTTCAGCTCAAAATTTTAGAAATAAAACATTATCAAAAATGATAAAGCAAAGTATAGAAGATATGATACACTATCATCAGACTCTTTATATCAGAAATGCAAGATTGAATCAGTATCAGGAAAACTGTAAACTATATACATTTACATAAAATGATTAAAAATCCCAATATCAATAGACGCAAAAAAAAACTTGTGATAAAATGTTAATATAAAATATTAAATGGTCTTTTCATTAATATGGTAAAGTACCTATTGTAATCAAAGAGCCAGCATTATATTTAAAAGGGATAAAGTAGGAGTGTAGGAAGGGTATCCATTATCACCACTATTATTTGATATAATTTTAAAATTACTAGCTATTGGAATAAGAGAAGAAAGAAATTGAAAAAATAAAAACCAGGAGGAGGAAACAAAGTTATTTCTTTTTTGCAAATGATATGGTGGTCCATTAGAAAACCCTTGAGATTTGACTAAAATTAATTGGAACAAGCAGAGTAGCAAAATATAAAGTAAATTATATATGTCACCAGCTGTTCTGTATATTACTGACAGTAATTGTTGTCCTTCATACTCGAGAGGACCAAAATGACATCATGATTTTGGGGTCAATGTACAATGTGTCCCACTGTAGCTAATTACATGAGTACAAGCTTGGAAGACTCCATTGTAGCTCAGACACAAATAGTCCATAATAATATTTGGAATAGAGATGTCTCTAAATTTGTGCACCTCACATTTCTTCTGAGCTACTGCTCATAGAGCACAACAACTTTTTTGATGCAGGCATGCCATGCTGGGTAGTCCTATCCAGTGTCTCCCATGTCTCAGAATCAATTCCAAAGTCCTTCAGAGAGACCTTGAAATTGTCCTTGCATCACTTCTTCTGACCTCCATGTGAGCACTTGCCTTGTATGAGTTCTCCATAGAATAGTCTTTCAGGCAAATATAAGTTTGGCATTGGAACAACATGACCAATCCAAGTTGTACTCTCTGCAGTAGAGTTTGAATGCTTGGCAGTTCAGCTTGAGACAGGACCTTAGCGTCCAGTACCTTATCTTGCAATGTGATCTTCAGAATCTTCCTAAGACAATTCAAATAGAAATGATTCACTTTCCTGGCATGCTGCTGATATACTAGCCAGGTTTCACAGGCATACAATAATGAGATCAGCACCACAGTTCTATAGACCTTCAGTTTGGTAGGCAGTCTAATATCTCTCCTCTCCCACACTTTCCTTTGGAACTTCCCCAACACTGAGCTAGCTCTGACAATGTATGCATCAACCTCACTCTCTATATATACATCCCTGGGAAGTATGCTGCCAAAGTAAGTGAACTTATCCACAGTATTCAAAATTTCTCCATTTGCTGTAATGATAGTTTTACTTATGGTTGGTGTGGTGCTGGCTGATAATGATATTATCCACAAAATCCAGAAGGAATGCATAGAAAAAATTCATCCACCGTAACTATACAATGTGCATAACATTTGAGATTATACCTACAAGAAATAGAGAAGCTATATGAATGTAATTATAAAACTTTTGCAGGAAAAAATAGTGCAATAATTAGAAAGATAACTAACTTTTATAGCTGGAGCACACCAGAATAATAATGACCATGACACCTATCTTAATTTATCTTTTCAGTACCATACCAATCAGACTACTAAAGGATTACTTTATAAACCATATATATATATATATATATATATATATATATATATATATTTCATCTAGAAAGATAAAAGACCAAATATCTCAAGGGAAATACATTAATGAAAAGAGTAGAAAGCTCTGAAACTATGCTACAAAGTATCAAGTAGAATTATTTGGTACTACTTAACAGAGAAATCAACCATTAGAACAAATGCAACACAGAGAAGCAAACATACACTGTAGCATAGTATTCAGTAAAATCAAAGATTCGGATTACTCAGATGAAGATCCAAAAACAGTTGGGAAATGGATAAGCAGTCTCATATCATATACCATAAAACAATTACCAGGTGGATATCAAAGCTAAATATAAAAGATTACATCATAAATAAATTAGAAGAGCTATACAGGAAATCCCCTTTGCAACTGATTAAAGGATAAATTCACGTCCAAACAAGGGATAAAGAGAATAATAGAAGATAATATGGATAATTTCTGTTATGTAAAATGTAAAAAAAAAATATGCAAAACTAATGCCATTAAAATTAGAAAATAAACAGTTAACTGTGCAAAATCTTCATAGAACTTTTCCCTGGTAAAGAGGAAGGAACAAATAGAAACCATTACAGACATACAAGTAGGCATTGAAAAGGAGGACACAAGTTCATATCCAGCCTTAGACACACAACACTCACTAGATGTGTGACTCTGGGCAAGTTACTTAACTTGTCTCACAAAAAAAAAATGCACTTCTTCCCAGTGACTGTGGGTTAAAATTTAGATTTTTAATTTTTTTCTGTTCTTTGCCCTCTTTTTTTTTAAAAAAAATTCATT